CTCCGTCCTCTTCCACCCGTCCTGTCCCAGCGTCGTCTCCGATGGTTTGGGCACGCAGCTCGACGACAGGAGGGAGAGCTCATCCGCGATGTACTTCTCCCTCCTTCTCTTCCTGGCTGGCGAAAACGTGTCGGTGGGCAGCTGAGGGCGTGAGCTAGCACAATCAAGGATGACCTAGCAGTACTATCGGGTCCACAAGTAGTTGGTCTTCGACGATGGAATCGCGATTGGCTCACCATTTCGTGTGACCTGGCTCAGGATCGGCGAGCGTGGACAGCGATGGTCCGTGATGCTGTACTTGCTCGGGAGGAAGCCGGTTCAACCCAACCAGGGTGAAAACCGACACAAGTCAAGTCTCACTCCTCTATCCCTAGCACTATGGGGAGATTGTCCAGCACTGACTGCTATATAGGAGTTTAGTACTCTTTGTCTTGTTTGTAGCGATTTTTTTCTATTTCTTAGTACCCTGCTTAGCTTTTGAAATAGGCTATCCCTATACCCTTTCTGTCCCCTGTTAAAACACTTCCCAGATATTTAAATTACCGCACTTTTTGATTTGTGTATGTTGAATAAATTATTACTCTCCCAGGCCAATATACACGGCTAAAAATATATTGAAAAATCAAAAGAAAACGGTTGAATTCACCCCTCACGTTTTTGAACATATAAAAGACATACATCCATATCATACCGGCTAAGAATAATAAGAATGCTTGCTTAAAAAATGCTGCAAGAGTTTGCCATTGATAACGTTCCCCTACAAATCTAACGAGCAGGGTATTTCTAACAGGATGGTGGACCGCCTCATTTTGCCTGTACTGTTCGCGTGTGTCTCGATCAAAGTATCCCTAATTGTAGCGGTGGAACGTTGACATAGCCACCACACTCCCCCTGATCTGATACCCTCTTGTCCTATATATGTCCTGTGAATATCAGATTTATCCAAGTCCTACTTGCTAATTATGTGCCCTAGAAACCTCAAATGTCTCTTCCTAGTGTTAAGTATTAGATTCCTTTTTGTTACCATTCCTCTAAAACTCTATTGTTACTCACATATCACGATATCCTCAGCAGCTTTCTGTAGAGCCACATTTCTTTTGCTTTTAGTCTCCTCTTGATCTTTGAGGAGATTGTCAAGTACTGACTGCCGTACAAGAGAACAGTTATCTTATAGCAGTTTAGTTCTCTTTTTCTTTTTTCTAGAGAAATGTTTCTATTTCTTAGTACCCTGCTTTGACTTTGAAATGCTTTTCGTGTTATCCCTATACGCTTTCTGTCCTCTGTTAAAACACTTCCCAGATATATAAATTACCGCGCTTTTTGATTAGTGTGTATGTTGACTGAATTACTACTCTGCCAGGCCAATATACACGACTAAAAATATGTTAAAAAATCAAAAGAAAACGGTTGAATCCATCACCTAATGTTTTTGAACATGTACAGGACATGCTTCCATCTCATACGATAACAATCTAACAACAATTTAAGGAATATTCAAGTAAAACTATTCTTGACTATTACTCGCTTACTTGTTGCGAGACTTTGAATTATGGCACTTTGTGACCTCCATATGTTTTGACTGACCTTTCCACCAATTGATGAACATTCATGAACGTTCTCAAATTTAAAAGCCTTGATAAACTAATGATATGCTCGCTTATGTATATAAGCAGGTGCAAGAAAATAAATCTTGCATTGCCTTGATAAACTCCTACCGAGGATGAAACACTTCGGATAAGAATAGTTTTCGTCTTCTCTCTTGACACTATTCATATATATATATATATATATATATATATATATATATATATATATATATATATATATATATATATATATATCATCCATAGGCAGACTGTTCAGTGTGGCAAATCATCCCCATTTTTTTCGCGTACCTTCGTCAAGCCGTAAATTCTACTCAGACAGTTTCTTCCTCAGAACTGTTACATTGTGGCCCAGGCTCCCGAGGGGATGCTTCTCTGACCGCTACAATCTTAACCTCTCCCGATAATACGCATTTCTTCACATTTCCTCCACCTTCACTTACAACAATCTCACTCAGTGATCCTCTATAGCAGTGGTCGGCAACCTTTTGCAATGTGCCGACTTAGGGTTTTAAAATCATTCAGTGTGCCAACAGCACACGTATTTTATACAAGTCAAGTTTAATATACCTGTTCTACAATATATATATATATATATATATATATATATATATATATATATATATATATATATATATAGTTAAATTCCCAGATGAATTCTGTGGACAAGACAGATTGGTATCAAATGACAACTGGAAAAAAAATTTTACATTTTGCCTCGCGTTTCGTCTTCCGACTTTTTCAAGGCAAAAATGAAATCGAAATGTTATGGTTGTTATAGTTACATTAAAAATCCAAATTTAAAATGATAGACACTTGTGTCTAAGCCTTTTTTTCTGATTAATGTAAATTACTTTTATAGTAAGGGATTATTAATATTTTTTTCGACAATCTAGTTAAATTCCCAGATGAATTCTGTGGACAAGACAGATTGATATCAAATGACAAAATTCACATTTGCATATATAAATTCACATATATAGTATATACTAGAAGCATGGCCCGGCGTTTCCCGTACTTGATTCAAAAATCGTACGACTCATACAGAAATCGCTATCACTTGACTTAAAATATTTTTGCCCTTTAAAGGAGTGCCCTTTGCTGTGCTGATGTTGCTACATGCCTTACTTCTTGCCTATCTCACACTGCGAATTTTTTCTAACCTCTATACTAAACATTAAATCTGTTACGAAAAAAGAACTAAACAAAATGAACACAAAACGATCAGTTTTAAAAAAAGGACTCGTAACTGGAAAAACCGAATGAAAAAAGAATGTTAACAACAAATACTTTTTCACACCCAACCTAGTTTCCTGAAATATTGAGACTGGTCATACTACCATGTCTCTATTCAAAACCACAAATCCAGTATTCAATATGTTTGATTTGACAGGGACCTCAATTTTCTTGCATGGAAAGGAAAAATGGAATGGAGTTTGCGTACCACTGGCTGAGGACTTCAGTGTAGACCACATTTTTAGCTTTTTGCGAGGGTGAATAAAGGAACATATCCTCGCGTTTGGCGACTCGAGAGCAGGCTACGTAAAGTTGGCCGTATGAGAAGCACTGCTCCTCTAAGTGTACACCAATGACAGACAGCGTTTGTCCTTGGGCCTTATTAATTGTCATAGCAAAACAGGGTGCGACTGGGAATTGGGATCTTCTGAAAGTGAAGGGTGCGTCGGCATCTGATGGATACAAATACATCATTGGGATAAGCACTTGCTGCCCTTTACCGCAGCCAGTTATAATTTTGGCCTCAATTATATTTGGGTGCAGGGCCAAATAACCATCCTGGTCCCATTACAGAGTTTCGGTGGACGCAGGTTTCTAAGCAACATAACCGGGATTCCCACTTTAAGTTCCAGAATGTGAGGAGGGAGACCAGCGGGGTGGAGGCTGTTTAAGAACTCCACGGGAAAGTTCGCCATTTCAGCGAGGTCTGGAGTTCTGTCAATGGATTTGTAAACGTGCAATACCCCTGGCAGTTTCCAGAAGCTGTCTATTAAGGGTTGTCACAGTGGTGTTTTTGGGGTCAAGAATGGCCCGCCCAGCAAGCCACTCAATATTGTTGTAGTTGGTTTGAAGATCAAGAAAAACTGATTCCATGAGTGTTGCTGGCGTTGTGACCACTGTAGACAACCCTTGGACGTTTACAAATCCATTAGTGTCCGCTGGAATAATTCCTTCGCCAAGGGCTAATAATGTATTCGAAGATTCGGCGGACCCAACATCGCCAGTTAGGTGTGCACGCATGTTGGCTGTAAGGTGCAATGGTCTAACAGTGGGCCAAAGTTGTGACGATTTCAAACACACTCGAATAGCGTCGGCCCTTGTCCCCTTAGGTACAACGGGGAGGGTCTAGCGAAAGTCACCGGATAGAAGGACAGTTATACCTTCCATAAGGTCATTGGAGTTTCGAATATCCTTCAGAGAGCGGTTTACAGCCTCGAGTGCAGTTTTGGGATTGACAGTGCACTCATCCCAGACGATAAGCTTACATCGCCTAAGTACCTCTGCTAGACCTGATTGCTTGGCTATACTGCATACAGCTGTTTCTGCCTTAATCAGGTCAAGCGGAAATTTAAACGTTGAGTGCACTGTTCGGCCACCCGGTTGTAATGTGGCAGCAAGGCCTGAAGACGCTACTGTTAGCGCCACTTCGCCATGGCGCCGAATTTCTGCAAGAAGCAGTTTTGTTACGAACGTTTTTCCCGTTCCACCAGGCGCGTCCAGGAAGAAAATTGATCCTGTATCCTGCCTGGTGGATGCAAGAACCGCATCGTCAGCGGCCCTTTGGTCTATGAGAAGTTTTGGCTCATTTTTTGTGACATAGGCGTTGAGCTCCTCAACAGAGTAGGATGTCTCCCGCACAATCTCAGGTGAGAGACTCGAGGAAGTCACACGATCTGGCGTTGGAAGCCCAATAGCGACAAGAGATACCCCCCCCCATTTCAACGAAAAGGTTCTCAATGATTATAATCGCCCTGTTGTAAATTCCATCGTTGAATGTAACAGCCATTGTTGGACACAGCAGTTGCGCTTCTCTGAGTATGTCTTTGAACAAAAAATCCTTGTATTTGTCCCAAAGTGATTTGGGATTACTGGGTTCGCACATTTGTAAGATTGTGGTGAAGAGGTGGCGCAAAGCAGAGGGCATTTTTAAAAGAGCTCCCTCAGCCATTGTGGCATCCCACTGGCTGTCGTCCTCCAAAAGGCCTCACGAAAAGGTCGTCACATAAAACTCCATTAACCGTCCATAAGTTATTGTAGCTCGTTGGACCACTAACTTCGTGCAAGAGGAGTCGCAAGTAAAAACATTCCTGTCGCGATGGGGAACCGTGAATACCCTTCCGAGTGTGGCGTCTTTTTTGACGCCTGGATAGCCTTCGACGTTTATTTGCGCTTCCGCCGAGCGCAGGTGTTCTTTTTTGTCCACACGTAGTATGAAGGCACGTCTGGGTACAGTAGAGTCCTAGCAAACTCGTCCTGTCGACAAAGTTTGAAGAACGCTGTAAGCGTTGTGTCTTTGGCACGCACAGCCACATTCATTGCTGCATCCGCAGAAAAATAACGAATAACTGTGCTGCTAATGACGCGCCCTGCAAGGAAGTCCTGGATTTCGTCTACGGAACCTTCCTGCCTAATACCAAACATTGCAGCATCAGTCCCTTTGTTGATGTACTTGCATACATACTTGATGGAGCGAACTGAATGGCAATATTCGACATTGATGTGCGCATTGAACGCTTTTGTTAGCAGGGGACAGTATGGCACTACCCATCTGTTATCCACTTGGTAGCCCTTTTACCACGGCTGTAAATCCTCCCTCAGCGGGACTCCTTCGCCGGTACAGTGGATAACCATCCGCTCCCTGTAATGGTTTCGCTCACGAAATCTCGTGGATACTGCCGGGTGCATTTGCCGTCGCTGTTGTGACAGCTGGTGTAATTGTAATGCGACCCGCAGAGACCATGAATCATGTTGGTTATCACTATTTTGTACAATTCAGGGTCAGCCGACGGATCAGAAATTTCAGCAGAAATAAGATGATCGATTTCTGTGGCCTCAATCTTGTCGCAGAGCCAAATTAGTATATGTGCGTGAGGCAGGCCGCGTTTCTGCCACTCAATAGTGTGCATGCAACAGCAAAGAGCCCCCTAAAACCTGTCCCTTTGTCATCACATCCATTAGCTTTCCCAACTTCAGATGGTAAACGCGCGCAATGAGGTCTGGACGGTCATAGGTCGATTGCCCTGGCATAAGTTCTTTAGCAATTGCGTACCATTTTGGGTTACACGTGAAAGTTATGAATAGGTTTGGTCGGCCGTACTTACGAACGTATGTCATCGCGTCTTGCGTCCTCGTGTGCATGTATCGTGGACTGTCTGTGAACGTTGCAGGTAGTATGCACATCTTGCCTATATTGCGTGGATCAGCGTCATTTAGTAAAGCATCATGGAAGTGAATGTAAGAGTCGCAGCGCAAATTGGTCTGATTCAATCTGATGTAACAGAGTCTTTCGGATTCCATCTTAGCAGCCATGTCTACTATGAATTGATGGGAAAGTTGCCGGCTTCAATGAAGATGATTGAATGCATCCTCATGTACCATCAATAGGTAGGCGTAGAAAGCTCTGCAAGACACTGTTTTTAAGGTGGACCCATTTTGCAGAATGCCAAAGTGGTACCCATCTTCTCCGTAAGGGAAGTGAAGTGGGTATTGCAGTGCATCGTAGGACCGGTACGTTTCACTGATTCTTCGGGGCTCACTGCCGCGCGATTCGATAACAGTGTCACGTCTGTTGTGCTGATCACCGCTGACAATGACGGAAACTTCGTTACTTGCGGGAGCATTGTAACGACGTTCGTGCTCTCCCTGAGTCCGTTTGTCAGCATCAATTACAATATTGAAATCAGAAGAAGTGTTATTTTCGAGAGCATACTTAAAACTGCGGACATAGCTGTTTATCTCGTGGAGCATTTGTTGCAGACACATTATGATATCCCTGCGAGGATGATTGTGCTGGCCTGTATCGTTCTCGGGAGTAATGCCTATGCGAGCATCTCCCTGCTGATTGTAGTCAGCTATGAAGTATATTTGTAGAAAGGCCGAATCAGTGGCAGTTTCCGGCAAAAGAGACCCAATCCGATGGTAAACCTGACCTTGAACCTTGAAGGTGGGATTCCAACCGACTTCGCGGAAGGCATTACCACCAAAAGAGGTCATCTGGAAGGCACAATTGTACTGTCTGATTTTTTCGAAGAAAAATTTGGAGTCTGGACTGGAACCCTCCAACAGAGCTTTCAACGGAGCAGGTAGGTCTTGAAAAAGTGGCAACTGTACCTTACCGTCTGAACAACACAAATCTCCAGATTCTCCAGGTCATTTTTGGCATTGCAATGCCCACAGAAAACTTACATGGATCCTATTTGGAGGTCTTTGCGACCGGAAAACCTCAAAACTGTCTCAGTTGAACGTCAGCTTAAACCAAAACGGCTTTGGTGGGCTACAGAGCCCTCGCTGTGCATGGCGGCGCTGGTTAACAGTCTTCAACCTTTCAAGCCTTTCAGTAGGTCCTTCTACAGCTCTAGCAGCGGAAGTTGAAATTGAATCGTGTTGCCGCCTTTTGCGCTTTTGCGCGGAATTTTCCGACGCCCTTGCAGCGTGCGATTTTTTCAGCCATTCCTGGGACCGTCGAATGGACGTTGCCGCAGCTTTCGCTGCGTTACGTGTGGTTTTCTCAGCCGTGGTCTCCTGGGACCGTCAAATGGATTTTGCAGCGACGCCGGCTGCATTGCGAGTAGCTTTTCGATGAGGGCTCTGTCGAGACCGCGCTTGTGATGAAACCGCTTTTTTGTTGTCTTGCAAGCGTTTAGGTAGTTTCCTCTTACTTTTCAACGAATATGTGTAAACTGATTTGCAGTACAGACGGTAGTTACGCTCACCAAGCGTTTCATGTGACAAAACATACTGCCTCCGTTGAAATTGACTAGAAAGCCTCAAAGAGGCCTCTACCTCGGTTTCCTCCTCCCGCTTTCTCTTTGCCGCAAAGGCTCTTTTAGAACGCCTGCTAAGGTTGCCTCGCCATGATATTTTGGCACGCTTAACAAAGCTGCCGGGTCGGTAATCGCCACGGCACCCAAGGAGGCACACTCAATGGAATCTTGCTCCCGTTTCCCCTTAGCAGGTGAGGCTTTTTTAGAACGCCTGCTAAGGTTGCCTCGCCTGGTTGTTTTTGCAGCCTTTGCAGAACTGCCGGATTGGTCATCGCCACGGCACGCAGAAGAGTGCAAAGCAGAAGTTGAAGTAGACGCTATATGATCATCTGTAACCGGGTTAGTATGTGCTCATTCGCAGTCGCCTGTTCTGCATGTGTAACGTTAATGGTATTAGGGGTCTTCAGTTGCTGACGTGCGGATGTTCGTCGTGTAGGAGCCATTTGAAGGGTTGTAGAAATGCTGTGTAAGAAAGCGAATAGAAGTTGATGCCGAAACTGAAGCGGTGCAACCTCGTTGTATACGAAAACTAAAAATGAAGTGGAGCCGTATAGAAAAATCTCCTAGCTATGGGCCGTGCTTTCTGGCAGCACGAAAACGTCGCTGTTGGAAGAGGTTACGCAACCAAAACATTGAAGCGTTGAAAGTTAAAAAGTAGTGAAACACTGAGGTGTACTGGGCCGCGTAGTAAAGGCAGAAGAGAAGTAACTTGCGACAGCAGTTAACTGTCTAATAGCAAAACTGAACTAAGAAAAGGTAGAAATAGGTATGGAACGCTAAGATGGACTGGGCTGCGCATTAAAGGCAGCACGCGGAGATAAAATGGGCAATGCAAACGTATAAGCAAATAGGCAGTGAAGTACTGAGGTGTTGTGGGCCGCGTAGTAAAGGCATTACACTTCAACTTACAGTGAAAACTGTAATGTGGAGGTAAAATAGGTTGGGCAAACGATTGAATAAATAAGTGTTGTGGAGTGATTTCACAGTGGAGGCTTGTATTTGTACTAAGTCGGTCCTAAAATAGGTTCGACGTACAAAACGTTAGGAACTTGATATATAATAGATATAACGCAGAGTAATCTAGTGGTCGCTGATACTTTAGTATTCGACTGTCGTCCAGCATCGACTGACTGACCGACCGACTCACCGACTGCCTCTTTACTCTTACTACTCCTACTTATTATAGGTGGGAGAGTCTATTAACTATAGAATAGGTGTGTTCCACTATAACAATAAGTAACTTGCGACAGCAGTTAACTGTCTAATAGCAAAACTGAACTACGAAAAGGTAGAAATAGGTATGGAACGCTAAGATGGATTGGGCTGCGCAGTAGAGGCAGCACGCGGAGATAAAATGGGTAATGCAAACGTTTAAGCAAATAGGTAACTTGCGGTAGCAGGAAGCTGTCAATTAATCCAAGGACAGATGCGTTAATGGCGATCAAACGAAGACGTGAGGGCGGATGCAGCCGCGCTGAAGGTATTTAAAGGAAGCGTGACTTGTCATTGATTGATGTAGCCTGGACAATGGTCATGACTTAGACCAATGAATGAGTTCATGCAAAATGGAAGATGCTAGCGCGCATTCACGTACGCGCGCATGATTTGGCAAGCGCAAGGCTTGGCCGTAAACGGGGTCAAGTTGCCTGCTGCATATGCAGCTTGGCTCTAACGCACGTGATGCCGGCGATGAGAAGCTGCAATGAAGCGTTTGCTCTTTTGGTTTGTGCGACAACGAAAAGCCGTTAACCGTTTGCCGGCATTAGCTTTGAAATGGATTGGGAGGAAGCCCTGTTGCTTTAGCGCAAAAACTCCTCGTCAGGTCTGGGTTGCGGCCTGGGCTCGGGGAAAAGGTTTAAAGAATTGGAAAATGGACTGCTGAGAGCGGAACCATTTTCACTCAGCACGTATGCGGGTTTGTTTTTTTTTTCAGTAAAGACGCGAATAAAGGAATTGTTTATTTTGGTAAGATGCGACGATTAAAGCAAAAGTGTTGACAAAGTCAAATATATCATTTGTGACTCAAAGTCAGACCTGGTAGCAGGAATAAAAAAGCCGAATTTCAATGGCCCTGCACCCATTCCAGAATTTGAGGTCAAATGTTTTCTTCCACTCCACTGCACGCACTAACATGTTTCTTCCCGCGCATAGCGTGACCTTAAATTAATCTGCGTTTAGGAAATACCCAACCGGAAAAACATTTTTAAGGGTTGACCGATTGTCTATTTGCACTCTGTTTGGTGGGGGGCGCTCAGAGTTCAAACTAAACATGGTGACTCCCAATGGCCTCCTCATAAATCCGATCGGTTTTCGCTAAAAACCGACTTGCGGTTCAGGTGCAATCTGGGCGTATCGGCTTTTGGGTTTTACCGATTTTCCGCGCTGTTTAGGGGTCCGTGGTCATAAAACTTCTGGACAACACTTCTAAAGGTAGACTCTAAGAGGGTGTCAAATTTGGTTGAAATGCAATTATTCCTTCTGTAAGCAGATTTTTTCGATTATCGATTTTTTCGGAACCTGAGTCCGAACTGAAAAATCGGGCTCCGTCATGTCCTTAAGGCAGCCATTTGCAAACTTGTGGTGAAACCCGCATAGAAATCGAGTGAGAAATGCGGCCTGGGCGAGGTAACAATCCCCACGACAGACACACAGACAGACAACATGAGAAAGATAGATAGATAGATAGATAGATAGATAGATAGATAGATGGAAACTGCTAAATACTTTCTTTGCGTTGTAGTAGTTATTGGTTCGGTCTTCGTGATGCCATTTTCAGCTGCGTGCCATTGAAAATTGTTTGGCGTGTTTAGGTTGCCGACCCCTGCTCTAGAGTAGCCCTTGAGATTTTTACTGAACTAACAGCAAAAAGAAAAAGAAACACTTACTGTGTTTAATCGGTTAAAAGAAACATTTTCATTTCAGTAGAATATATTTAGGGAAAAGCTTTATAGTACATCTTAGCATGTAATATGTAAAGTATGTAATTTCAAAATATTGCACAATGAACATTAGCTATACAAAAAAAAAAAGATTACTGTATATAAAAAGCAAGTTAGTACTACATTAGAGTATAAAGAAAAAAATTGCAATGCTGAAAATAGCCTATATATCTACAGCAATAAATTTTTCCCTGACCTTAATATTCTATTTCCCAGATTAGTGTTTTATCATTACGGATATTTAATTTTAATTATGTCCTTTTCTTCTGTAGTTTGAAAATATTAATGTGCTGAGTCACATTTAGATAGAAAACCATTGAAAAGAACAATGTTAGGGAAGAATTTGCGATTTTTAATTCGGTTAGTTTTTACGGTTTATCAACCCTTTTGTGATTATTTAAAGCCGAAATATATATGTTTTTGGCTTGGTATGTAAAATTATTTTTTGTGAGTGAGTATTACATTCACAATTATTTAGAGATAACAATGATTTTTTCAGGCACATGTCATGCTATTTAATCCATAGCTGAGGGAACAGAAGAAGTGGATTCATACATTTGCCAAGGTTATTTATGCGTAAGAGAATTTAAGGAACACGACTGTAATTCCAACTCGTATCAATGAACAATGAATAGAAAAGTGCTAGGGATAAATCTAGCTTTGTTTTTTACGGTTTATCAACCTTTTGCAGGCTATTTAAAGCCGAAACATTTTTTATTGTAAGAATAATTTTTTTTTTTTTTTTGCACGCACGCGCGTGAATATTTAATTAGCAATTTCTTTTAGATAACAATGATTTTCCCAGATACACGTCCTGCTATTTCATCGATAGCTGGAGAGAAGAGATAGATTGATATCTTTCCCAGTGTTATTTTTGCGTAAGTGAATGTAACGAGCTTGACTGGAATTCGAACTCAGTTCCCCGCGATCCGTTACACCCACAGTACATCCTAACTCTTGGAGACAGAAATAAATATAATTAAAAAAGCAATTGAAAATATTATCAAAAAAGCCCAGAAATCAATATTGTTCGATGAATGGTGGGAAATATGAATAATACGATTAAATATTAGTTTTGATGTTCCCATGGGAACTTATGATTCCGCGTGAGCGTTTGAAATTGTGCGGTTATATTTGGTCCTGCGATTTATATATTAAATGAGATTATATCTTGATGATGTCCTTATTGTTCTTAAAAAGAAGTGCTCTATAGTGACAGACAGCGCAAGAGAATTGTTTAGCTTCTTCAAAAGTTATGGCAGAAGAAACCCTCGTTGGATCCTGCATTCTTCAGACCACCTCGACCACGGAGTGCATCGACTATGATTTTCTAAGCTCAGCTTAGAAATGATACCAGGCCGAAAGTGAGGAGCACCAGATGAGGATCGGACTCATTACTCAGTCGTAATTGATCCGGTGAATTTCAGCTCTTGACACAACTTCTGACCAGAGAAATTAAATCACTACTCTTTGTTCCTCCTTGGTACACACTGCTAGCAGATCGGCTATGTTTACACTGTAACAGCAGCAAGAAAACTGGCGCGACTAAACTCAAATTTCGATCACGTGACCACAATAGTACCAACTATAATCAGGCATGAGCAGTGTAATAAATCTAAAGGTATGTTACAGTGAAAGTTTTTTTTACTTACCTTCGTAAAAATGAAAACTCGCATACTGGATACACTCGCGTATAGTGCGAGATTTTAGGTAATTTTTTTACAGAAAAAATAGAGTGTCACTCTATACACAGTTTGATTTTTTTGAAGACGTTAAAAATCAGGCATGAACGAAAATAAAATTCGATATCTAAATCGTCGTATTTTACGGTAAGAGGTTTCAAATGAATTTTTAAAAATGAAGAATCTTTTTTGAAGCTTGATTTTACTTTTAATTTCAAACTAATATCTTAAATCTAATATTTGCAATAAGCAAAATATGTTGACTCTAAGGACTTTTTTTTTCTAAATAAACAAAATAGTTGAATTTAACACCGTTTTTAGACATCTGTCATCAAAATGTAATTTTCTTTATTAAAAAAAATCTTTAAAAAATAAAATATATTTTCCTGAACCTTTATTTGAGAAATATTATCTGATTTAAAGTTTAATTAATATTTCAAGCACATATTATTTGCCTTAGGTTTGAAATATCGCCGAAATGTATTTTTAACACTGCCGTAACAGCTTATTTATGGTGCTGACTTTTTAGCAGCTTGACTGACAGATGAACAATTATGTAATTTTTTTCTACGGTGGACATATTTGTAAAAAATACCTAACGAATATAATGTGAGTACCTTTTTTGTATAATTTACCTAGTTATTATTTTTTTTTTTTATAACTACACAGTTTATGAAAATATTCTCCGTAATCTAATGCTAATTGGATTTTTGGTACTTTGGCTTTAAATTTAATATAGTCCTTGCTCATATTTTCTGATAATATCGTGTATGGACACCCTTATCTTTAAAAAAAAATCGTCACTTTATACACAGTAAAAAAATAATCCAAATTCTTTATAAATCATTCGCATACAAGTTTTAAAAGACGAAAATAATTCTTGTAAAAATTCATTATTCATAGATAATTTTTTCTTAAAACATCCATAAGACATCTTATTTATAAAAACAATAAAGATTAAACACTTTTTTCTTCTTTTTTTTTTGTTGTTGTTGTTTTTAAGCATTTCACCCATAGCAAGGCGGGAAGCCACTAGCACGCATGCGGTTACAGAGGATTTGAGGCGAGAGCAGATAGGAATGATAGAGGAAAGGATGGGAAGGATAGTGGATAGATCAAGGAAACTGGAGATGTCGATTGATATTACATTTGCATAGTTGGAGATTAAAGCTATCAGGGAATCAGGGAAACAGGAGTAGGGAAGGGAGTTCCACAGGCGAGAGGTGCGAGACATGAAGCTATTCGAGTAGAAGAGACGGCTACATTTAACAGTTTCAACAGTGAAAGGGTGAGAGCGAGATGCCAGCCTCGTAGGACGATTGAATTCGCGAAGTCTTGGAACCAGCGAATGCAGCTCATCGGAGCAATTACCATGGAAGTATTTGTAAAAAAAGACAGAGAGAGGCGACGGCACGTCTGTGAGAGAGCGACTGCAGGCGAGATGCCAGATCAGGGCCAATTATATTGCATATCCGTTTCTGGATCTTATCAAGAACCCCGGGGCAAACAGAAGGGGCTCCAGACCATATATGGCAGCAATACTCCATGCAAGGGCGAATGGTTGATTTGTAGATTTGAAGGATCGATTCCGGGGAGAAAAATTTCCTGGCGCGGCACAGGGAGCCAACTTTCCTTGCGGTGGACGAAGCAACTAACTCAATGTATTTGTTCCATCTCAGGTCAGTAGACAACGTGAGGCCGAGTACAAAAAATTTAATATCTTATATATATTAAATATTTTAACAGACTACAGGAAATGCGCCCCTGTTATCCATTGAGATAGCGAAGGTTGCTTTCCAAAAAATAAAAAAAATAAAAAAAAACAGAAAAAATGTGTTAGAAACATAGAAAAGAATACTGAAATGTCCTCCTACGTAGTAGAAATATATGTGCACGTGGCCGAGTTAGAACGTTCGCATTCTGACCATGAGATCCGGGTTCGAATCTCAACATGGTAGTTCTGTCAGGAAGGAGATTTCTTCATCTTATCGAACGTACGGCACCTTTGGAAAGTGCGTGTTAATTGGCGTACGGCACCTTTGGAAAGTGCGTGTTAACCATACCACGGGTGACCCAAATTGACGATAGCTGTGCTAGCACGAAGTCACAGATCATCGTGGCCGCTAGCCTTGTTGATCACGCAAGATAAAACGCTCTATAAAACACAGGTGGGATCTGTGGGTGTTGAATTGAATAAACGCATATGCGCCAGAGCAAGCGGCTGCAATAGGGATTGGCTTGCCGCCTTAGTATACCTCGAATACATATATAAAGGAGAATTGCAGCAACAGAAATGTAGTTCTATAGAAGGATACTGTGAATACCTTGGACCGAACAAGCTAGCAATGACGAATCTCTAGAGATAATGGAAGCAAAAGGAACACCTAATCTTAACATCAGAAATAGAAAGGAAGAGAAGACAAGATGGACAGAAGAAAACAACAGATAACTTACCAGAGAATTTAAGCAGATAGATAGTGCAACAATGTTTAGGAAAGATAACAAAACGAAAGAAATTACTAAGGACAAAATAATGTGGAGAGGCATGATCGCCTACGTCCAAAAGGGAGACACTACATAGAAGAAAAATTAATATTACATAAAACTTGTAACGCATAGTTTTTACAGGATGAAGTAAAATGCTTTAGAAATGCTTTCAAATTCGACCAATATTTTATTCCATACATAACGCGGAACGGAAAGCTTACAAAATCTAGAAAACAATAAAAAAAAACTAACAACAATAACAAACCAAGCACATAATATGTCTACAAAGGACTACAATTTATTTACAAGTTTACATTTAATTATAAGTGAGCATTTATAAGTTCACCATTCGCCCATGTACTGAATATTGCTGTCACATCTGGTCAGGTGCTTCTGTTGTGTATTTAGAGATTCTTGATAAAATCCATAGAAAAATCAGCAATGTTATTGGTCCTGACCTGGCATCTTCGCTTCAGTCATTTTCACACCACAATAACATATTTTCCGCGTGCCTTTTCTATAAATATTTTCATGGTAACTGTTCTAGCCAGATTTCCTCTATGGTATCTAGACTTTAGAAATGTATGCGCAGTACTAGATTGGAAGCTAGGTCCCATCATTTTACTGTTGAAGTGGCTAGATGTAACCGTATGTTCTATGCTAATAGTTTCTTCTACCGTACTTCTTGCCCATGGAATTCTCTTTTAACTTCTTGCATTCCTATCAACAACGATCTTCAGTAATAAAATAAATGCAATATCATCGTCATCTTCTTTCATATTGGAACTTGTTCTTTTATTGTTCACTCTGTGTTTTTCACTCTCAGTAACACCTTGCGTCTTAGCGGATTTATTGCATTGCCTGTGAGGAGATTGTTAGAAATATTTCTTGGTTTTTATCGACAACTTCAAATGGTAAAAGCAGCCTATTCATTTCAAATTTTGTCCAAAGATTGGCGTTCTTGTACAACATTCGTTAAAAAAAAAGAATATATATTTTAAATTCTTAATTTCATTACATTCACGACACCAAAGATCTCTCCAAAGGAAGTCCCTGTAAATAAGAGAAATTTATTTTCATGGTAACCTGCTTTGATGAGCTTTTTTCTCTGGTGCCCCGACTACAGAACTTGAAGTGTGCTACTAGATTGGCATCTAGGTCCCACCCTTTTTACTGCTGAAATAATCAAATGCAGTCGCCGCTTCTATTCCAACAGTTTCTTTTCTCGCATTTCCTGCCTGTGTAACTCCCTTCGCCATCTGTCTTCTTGAATCCCGTTCATCTTTTGTCCTTAACACAATCCTCCCTCGTCTCAGTCTTTTCTCTCACTTTCACTCTCTGTAAACCCCTGCGTACTAGCGACATTCCCGCCTTGCTTGGGGAGAAATGATTTAAAAAGAACTACCTGTAAATTGAATGCAGGTGTGTCTGATAGCTTTTTGGGTGTTAGCTGAATTCATTTTATCAAGTAATTTGCCGATTCTGTTCTTCACACCTGAGAAAATTAGCTTCGTTTTACACCTGCGAAAACTCCTTATATTATATGTATATATATATACATATATATATTTATATATATATATTTTATTTTTGTATAAGAAAAATAATTACAAAGAAATTAAAAAAACAATAAATAGAATAGTAATAAACCCCTGCGTCTAAGTGCCTGTTATCACCCAGCTTGGGGAGAAGGATTAAAAAATTTCAAATTTAAAAATAGCCATATATATATATAATATTTTTTGTTTGTGAAATTTAGTTTGATACCAAGTGATGGGACTTAAGATGAAACTTGGGGGAGTAACTTCTGAAACATTGTATTCACTCGGATGTATTTTGGTATAAGGACGGCTCATTCTTATCTTTTTAGAATTTAGCATGGACGCGATAGAGTTTGTAGCGTTTCAGAAATCTCTCGGAGATCCAAAGAAGTAATTTTTTTTTTTTGTGCCGAATGATCGGCACCACACCATTGGATGAAACGACTGAAGAAAAGAAGTTGTTCTGAAAAGTTTCACGCATCTGGATATTACTCAAACGAAAGTTTTCTAAATCTTTCATAGTATGGATTTTCTGGCAATTTTGGAACACGATTCATGTTTTCGGAACGTGCCTTTGCCACACGTCTTGAGAGTTTCTGTAAATAACAAAAAAAAAAAAAAAATTAATCCCAGCACACATTGAATTTTCTACTTATTTTAAACTTTCTTTTAGAGATTTATGGTTTTAAATTTTTTAAAAATCGGATGTTTTTTTTTTTTATTTAATTTAAAAATAAATGAAATTTAATTTCTTTATAAATCGGATATCGGATTTTTTTTTTTAATTAAAAATCAAATTAAAAAATTAAAACAAATCAGGTTTTTTACTTTATATTAAAAATGAAATTGAGTAAAATGAAAAAAATATATTTTATTTTAAAAAGCGAAATTAAAAAATAAAGAAATTCGGATCTCTTGATTTTATTTTAAAAAAATCGTAGTAAAAATTAATTCTTTTTAAAATGGAAATTTTTGCTTATTTTGGAAAATCTAATTAAAATAAAATTGAAATTTATTTAAATTTAAAAAATTAAAATGCAAATTTCTTTAAAAAAGTCGAATTCTTTTTCTATTGAAATCGAATTTTTATTTAAAAAGTAAACAATAAAACATTCTTTTTTTACATTGTGACACTATTTAGCTATGATAATTGGCTTACTAATTAAGCATGGAAATTAAAAGCGAGAAATACTTGAGGCGAGAAAAAGCTATAACGAAAGACATACTAAGCGATGTTATTTTTTTTAACAAAAGAAAAATGAATAAAGATTTTATTTTCATTTGCGAAGAAAGGTATTTTTTCGCAGAAGATAGAAAATTCGTAAGATCTCGGATCTGTCAGAATTAATTTATGCCATAACACGGCGAGGAAAGGCAGAATGCGGGTAAAAGATAGCAATCTGCCCATGGCAATAATGAAAATTTCAATTTGGTCAAGAGGCTTACAAAGCAGAATGCTAGAAGATAATCGAAAATTGGGTCAAGTATGCGACCGAGAAAGAATTAGGTAAGACCACCCCAAAGAAAAAGGAAGGAAAAAGAGAAAAAGAAAAAGAATAAGCCATTAACTATCTTTCGGAGATATCATTTGGTTTTGGAAGAAGAACCATCTGTTGTATATCCAGAACTTGTCATGATAAAAGTTTGTTATCTGGACAAGCTGTTGGCGATAGAATGCGATGATGTTGAGAAAGACAAAGAGTTTAGTTGACCACCCAGATAATAAGTCGGCGAAGATCTCATTAATGAATCCCAGATGACATCAAGTTAAGATAAAAATTTAATGTCCACAGTGCGATTCATGGGGGTTCTGGCCGATGGAGGAGAAAGAAAAGAAAAGGGAAAATAATTTTTTTTTCTTTGAGCGAAAATTGTAAACTGAGGCCAGTCTAGCCACACCCACACTACCGAGCGTTCATTGGCTGAATGGTGGCGTGGGCGATGGGCGAAGGTAAACATATAAGAAAGAAGGGAAACCTGTTGACGCCCTCTGAGGGGATTGATGTGAGATACCAATATGAGAAAGGAAGAATTTAGGAGGACAATTCCCTTAAGAACCCCTCTAAAACAGAAAGTAATTGACTTCCAAAAATGGGAAGTGATAAATTTTCCTGTCCGAAAACAAAGAAAATCCTTATTGCGGATTTGGAATTATCAAGGAACCCAAACCACGACAGGCCCCTACCCGGTTTTGTTCGGCGTCCATATAAACGAACGTCCCTAGAGTTTAAGACAGTTGGAGAGTAGAGTTGGCGTCAGACAGTTGGAGTCACAGAGTTGAGTTGCAGTTGAGCTGTGAGCTCGGAGACCAGCCTCGCAGGAGCTGACTGAAAGATTTCCACGCATTCCGACTTAGACTTCTAACCAAAGACATTTATTTTAAGATCGACTTAGACTCACACCACCAAAACAAGTTTTACGAATATCGCCTGAAGATACAAAAAAAAAAGTTTATTGAAAAAAAACTTAAGATATTAAGACTTGCCTAAGAAACGCAAAGTGACACGAATCCATAGAAGCGGTTTGGGAGAAAGACGCAGTCCTGTATTCAGCAAACAGATATAAAGATACTTGTTATTTTTTTTTAACACATTTGAATCTTTTGAATTGTTCCATTATTTTCTTTTACATATACTTGTGCGGTATCACCTTTGCCACAGATTCAGCTTGCACTACGGCCCGACGCTTGATTGATTTCGTCTACCTAAGATCAAATCACAACGTGGGTAGGTTAGACTAGAAATCAAAGCAGTTACTTCGGTAACCAGACGTTGGAAGCGAGTTGGGAACGGCAAAGCTGATATTGAATCTAACCAGATTTCCATCCGAATCAGCCAAGGGTTAGATCGTCACAGGATAGGACAGGACCAGGGTGCCGTCAAACTTAAATCAGATTTTTCTATTTACATAGAATTTTTGGGATTTTTTCAAACTAAAAAAAAGAATTTTTACATTGAATTTTTTAAAAATTAAAGATCAAATTGAGTTTTTGTCTTTTTTTAATTTGTTTTAGGATTTATATAAATAAGATGTATTTTAAATCTATTTATTCTAAATCTTTGAACAAGTGGAAGAGCAAAGCTAAGATAAATAGATTGAAAAAAAATCAAAATTGCCAAATTAGCAATATTTGTCTGAATTTCTGAAATGAGGAATTACCATTTTTACACCATTTTTTATACTATTCTTTACATTATTTACATTTGGACTATGGTTCTCATCTTTGCTGTTGTTATGACATCATTTCGGCCGTTGTTACCTCCGACCTTCCTCAGGTGTATATCGATCTGTGTAACCTAGATGGAATTCTGAACTGAAGCCTTTATTAAATCAACAGGTGTAGACTGTTCTCATTCCACTGCTCAAGTGTAGGAAGATCGTCCACTTCTTTCTTTATTTTAGTTCTGCTCAATTATTACTCACCCGTTTCCACTCTGTGCAAGTACGCTCAAACACACAAAACAACACTTTTATCAACTTGGTCATTGTCCCGTATGGGGAAACGGTCCGAATACAGATAATGTATATAGCAATATTTGGCTATGTCATCTGGCTGACTTTTCGCCAATTTAGTTGATAAAAAATTTACATTTAAGTATGACCATTTTTTAGATCCAGTGACTAGACCCAAAAATTCTGAGTTTGATACCAAGCTACAGCAGTGGCGAAGAAAAAACTTGAAGATTTGAGTTGAAAGGGAAATAAGTGAGACACCCGGAAGAGGCATGGCACGTAGAACTAGAACAATCTACCACGGTGGGTGAAATAAAAGGATCGATTCAAAATTCCAATCGAAATTCCAATCACCTGAAGAAGACTGGAGTGTACACAGGCCGAAACATTGTGAATATGGCAATGAAGATGTGGATAATAATGCAAGTAATCATAATACCTCATCTCAGAGATATAGACAGATATTAAAGATCTATTTTTTTTTCAAATATGATCACACCTATTTTTTCAAATAAGATCACACACCTATTGTTTTTTTGTTTTTTTGTTTTTTCGAATAAGATCACACAAGTATTGTTTGTTTTTCAAATAAGATCACACACCTATTGTTTTTTTGTTGTTTTTTTTCGAATAAGATCACACAAGTATTGTTTGTTTTTCAAATAAGATTACACATCTATTTTTTTGAGATAGGATCACACAAATATTTTTTTACATAAGATTAATTCCTATTGGGTTTTTTTTTTTTTTTTCACAAAGAAAGAAGAAAAAGGAGTGAGTCTACTAAATGGATGATAATTGTTGAAATTGCAGGAGAATTGGAAAGTTGAAAAATCATGTTTTCAATAATTCCAAGGAGAATCGAACCCAAATTTACCTAGATAAAATTCAGTAAAATTGAGAAAAAAATCCAAGAAAAACCATTAAGATATCCACTAAGATTTCAGATAAAATAAATATAGAGAAATCCGATTGGTCCCGAAATAACATTCACGATTTCTCTGGACAAGGAAAAACATCTGTTTCGATTCAACTAACCAGAAGAAAATTATTCCCATTCGTTCGTCATTATAATTTCGGTGATATTTGTCCAGAGAACATTTTATATTCAAACATGAATTTCGATTCCCTTGAATACAAGTAGTAACAAAAAAATAATAACTATTTTGAAGTGGCAATGAATAAGAAAATTGAGTTGTCTATTCGATCGTAAAATAATGCATAAGACAGGGGAAAGTTAGACTTGCTTTTGAAGGGGATTGGAAATAGATTTTTCTTTCTCTTTGACAATTCTTGAGTGGTCTGGTTGATCGAAAGATCCCCAGCATGGGGCGAGCTGATAAATACGAACTGATGACTGAAAATCCCTTTTGTATTCGCTGCGACATCTAGCAGTTCGATTTATCATTCCAGCCAGGAAGCAGGCTGAGATTGGCTGCTGATAAAGTGGGAGAAGGAAGAGAGGTGAGAAGGAAGGAGAAGGAAAAGAAGGTAGACGAAAGAGAAGGGTGAGAGAGATTAGCACCGCCAATATGGAGCTATGGTATGAGATGAAGTGTAAAGAGAGTTGGATTTAAGGGATAGCTTGATTCCTCTGACCAATCTCAAAAGGGCGGGTGATGGACAACTCCAAATTTAAAAAACATGATTAAATGTATTTTTATATGTGGAAATTTAAAAATGTTGATGCTTAGGGTAGAAGACAACCGAACCCACTCCTGCCAGACGCAGGACTCCATATAAACTGGAGATTTTTTGAGTCAGATTAGAAGAAGAACGAGAGACAAGGCAAGAACAACAATGAAGAGACACAGAAAGAGACACACCGACATCTATATCGTTCGCGAGATCTCCTGACCAAAGACCTTGTGCCGGAATTGAAGAACAGAACTTAGAAATTTAAGTTGCTGCTAAAACAATTCGAAGGGGATTCCCAGTATCATTTGATTATAACAACGAATTGGAAGAGTTAAAACCCCTGTATACAACAAATCATATATATCCCACTTACCTTCAACCAGTCCTGTGAGTATCAAATTTTTCAAACCCTCTTTGCTCATTTAAATGAATACAATAAGTAGCTCCCAAGAGAGTTTGCTATACAGAAGAAAGAGATCTCAATGCCTTATTAACTGGCAGACCCTTAATATGTTGTAATTAAATTTCCAGTGATCAGTGGCATGCATTTTCCCGCAATCATCAGGTGATGTATGAATTGACTTAAATTCTAACGCGGAGTAAAAAATTACATACCTTCGGTTTTGGTCGATCTTTTCCATATGCTTTATGACCACCGCGAAACACTTTCTTAACGAAAGACGTCTAAAATAAAAAATAAGACGAGGAAATTCAAAATAAAAGTTATGTTGAAATTTATAATAGAATTTCAAACAATAAATATCCCAATTTTTATTCTGGCTCTTTGCATGCATATACGACAGATGCTTTTTACTGGGTGTAGTGAGTTAGGCTCCCCGGCATAGAACATTGGGAATAACTGCAACAAGCCGCTAGCAGTTTTTTTAGCAACAATAGCCGACCGTCTATATCACGTGCTTTTGCATGCTACGTTCTATTTCTTTCTTCCTTTCTTTCTTTCTTTTTCTTCTTCTAGAGCATTTTTCCGAGGTCGAATTCTAGTCGGGTTTTATTACATTCTCTTGCATGCTACGTTCTATTTCTTTCTTTCTTTCTTTCTTTCTTTCTTTTTCTTCTTCTAGAGCTCTTTTCCGAGTTCGAATTCCAGTCGGGTTTTTATTACATTCACTTCTAATTAAGGAGTCAACAGTAAAGACAGAGGGCTCGTCTGATGCCCACGTGACCAAGGCGAGCTTTCTAGTTGGGGGACATCGGTTGTGATTTGACCGAGAGAGAGAGGGGCTCCGACCACAGCCAGTCATGGGACTAAAGATGATGATGGAGTATTTCCATTTTCTTTAGAAGTTCCTTATTGCCTTGGGTTCTTGTGTATTCTCAGAATCAGTCTGTAAACCAACATCTCTCATTTCGTGGCCCTTCATCATCTTTAAGGAAGCTATTCAACCCTCACTGCGATACAAGAATACATTCAGAACTCTTTTCTTTGTTTCTCACGATATTCTCCAATCTCAGAATACTTTGCTTAGTTTCTGAAAGGGACATATGTCTGACGCTCAACTCCACGAGAGCACCTATTTGCGACTGCTCGGTCTCACATTGTCCGCTAACCTGAGATGAGTCAATAGCTTCGTCTACCGCAAGGAAAGTTGGCTCCCTCTGCCGCACCAGGAATTTTTTTCTCGCCGGAGTTGATCCTTCAAATCTACAAATCAACCATTCGTCCTTGCATGGAGTATTGCTGCCACATATGGTCTAGAGCCCCTTCTAATTGTCTTAAGGAGCTTGATAAAATCCAAAGACGGATATGCAATGTAATTGTCCCTAATCTGGCAGCCGCTCTCTTACAGACGTGCCGTTGCCCCCCTCTGTCTTTTTTACAAATACTTTCATGGTAACTGCTCCGAGGAGCTGCTTTCGCTGGTTCCCAGACTTCATGAATTTAAGTGCTCAACTAAGCTGGCATCTCGCCCTCATCCTTTCACTGTTGAAACTGTTAAATGTAACCGTCTCTTCTACTCCAATAGCTTCATGTCTCGTACTTCTCGCCTGTGGAACTCCCTCCCCATTTCTTTTTTTTCCTGATAATTATAATCTCCAACTATTCAAATGTAACGTCAATCGACGTCTTCAGATGCCCTGATCTATCCCCTAACCGCCTCTTCATCTTTTCCTCTATCACTTCTCTTTGTTCTCGCTCCTACTCTGAAACCCTTTGCATGCTAGTAGCTTCGCGCCTTGCTTGGGGTTGAATGCTAAAAAAAAAAAACCGACAGATGGTTTGTAAAAAAAACGAGCTACTTCAAATACGATCGATCCCGTGCAAACCCAGTGACCAATCAGGGTCGTAAGGGCACCGCAGTAGAAATGATGTTTCTTGGGCAAGATAGTCTGACGGAGCCTAACCCTCTCCAGGCCGGTTTTGAATTCAGACTTTCCTTCGCCTAGACCGGCTGTCACCCAAGGCTATAGAACCCAGTTTGTCCTGCTATTTAACTATAGCTGGTGGGAAAGGAGAATTCATACCTTTCCCAAGGGAATTAGCAAGCAATATATCCGACTGGAATTTGAATTTGGCTCACCGATTCATCAATCTGAGCCGCTATCCATTAACATGCCTCCTTTTAAATACAAGTATTCACTAAAAATAACGTTTGATGTAATAAAATTGTCGAATTAAAAAAAAAACATTAATTTTTCAACAAATTGGTTTGTTTACATTATGGATACGAAACTTAGTAGATATGGTCGTAAATAATATAGTGTGCCTTCCTTAAAAGGGAAATATAGAACGTTGCAGGGCTGATCGATCTCTGTTGAGCGAACTAAGGCACGCCATATATATATATATATATATATATATATATATATATAAAAGTGAACACTGAAGTCAACACTCAGAGGCGACAGGCTGTTTCATGCTAAACGCGGCCTGACGATTGCGTCATGCATGAAAGACCTGTTGCCTCTGAGTGTTGACTCAGTGTTCACTTTTATATTTACATACGCTCTATCTTTGATATTCAGTACTTTATCCCATAAATATAGCACACCTTAAAACTATATTTTTCATATATCTATATACACACACACACACACATATATATATATATATATATATATATATATATATATATATATATATATATATATATAATAAAAGACTTAAACACTAAAATTCCATAGTCATAATTTATTCCATTGGAATATAAATAATTCATCAGACCTACAAATTCAAAAAGAAAACAAATATGTATATCAATGAAGACATTTTCAAATTTGCTAACAAATGTACTGTTTTCTTTTTAAATTTGTAGGTCTGATGAATTGGAAGATATTTTACGATTCCAATGGAATAAATTGAGCAGTGTGGAATATTAGTCATTTAAGCTTTTTTTTATATCCTTACTCTGTCCTAGACATTGAGTTCTACTTGGATTCTATCCTCTTGAATTATTTTTTATACATATATATATGTATGTGTATATATGCATGAATATATATTTATATAGTTTAGATATATGATTGCACATGTATGTGTATATTAACCACTAATATTATCAATCTCTCTCTCTCTCTCTCTATCTCTCTCTCTCTATCTTTCTCTCTCTCTCTCTATATATATATATATATATAATGGGAGCGGGACCCAATGGTTGGAACGTTCGCTTTCCGGTTTCGACACTCACTATGGTTAATTTGTCAGGAAGGTGACTTCCTGTAAAGCCGATCCCAGCATGCTGCACCTTTGGAAAGTAATTGAAAATCACACCACTAGTTGACCCAAGCCTTGTTAAGGAAATTGAGTAGACGGAATTATTTAGGAGCCGACGGTTGTTGGGCTAGCAGGAAGTCACATGTCATCGTGGTCGACGATTAGTGCGTATTGGCCTTGTTCAGACTGTTGATTACACCAGATAAAACACAGGTAGGTTATGTGTGTGTTGAGCAAACGCATGTGTGCCTGCAATAGTGATTGGTTATCGCCCTTTCGGCCAGGCATATTCCAATACGAGCCCCACCAGCCATTACTTAAGCTATAGTTGTACAGACAATCTTGAAAATATTATTAAAAAAACAATAATAAAATTTTAAATCAACACTTAAACCTAAGTAATAATCACCATTCCGAAACAGAAAACAATAATGATACCAACTTGTTTAAGTGTAGAAGTCCTATTGACTGTTCATTACAAAATAGATGTCAAACTGAATCCCTTGTTTACGTATGTACTATTTCATCTAGAGAAAATCCAACAGATAAAAGATTTTATATCGGCAGTACCAAGAATTCATTTAAAACAAGGTGCTATGAACATGTGTTGTTATTTTACAATAATGCGCACGGTAATCAGACGTCCCTTTATAAATATTTTTGGCATTTAAAAGAAGTTAACAAAACCCCTAATTTAAAATGGAAAATATTAAAAAAATAAAACTTGTAAGTCTTTACATGATCTGTATTTCCTGTGTTTACAAGAAAAATTACTTATTATAAATTTTGTTAACAAAAAAAGTACTGTTAAACTAAAGAAATTAATTAATGGTGTTATGCCGGCATTGTATATCTTTTACTTTAAATTATAATTTTTAAGATATTTTCATAAATTATGAATTATCAAATTTATAGCCATTATTTTATTAGTATATAACAGTCCACCAAATACGAATAGTCTATTTATTTGATTCATTCAACTTTAATATTGCCATGCTTTGCCGTCTATTTAGTACAATTAGCATTGTGTATATATATATATATATATATATATATATATATATATATATATATATATATATATATATAGAGAGAGAGAGAGAGAGAGAGATAATTGATATATATATACAGATAATTGATATATATATATATATAGAGAGAGAGAGATAGATATAGATATATATAGATGTAGATAGCTAGATAGATATAGATAATTATATATGTACACATACACAGGTAATTTATACAGTTAATATTTGGTACAGTTGGTATGGCGTTTGCCTGATAACGTAACCATCGGGGTTTCAATTCTCGGTCGTCGATGCGCTCTGCTGATGAGTCCCAAATTTAGGATGAAATGGTTGTTGAGGTTTTTTCTAGACTCGATGAATTACTTAATTTTAATTATCTCAAATCCTCCTAATAATTTCTGTTATATATATGTATTTGTGTTGACCAGTTTATTTCTAGTCGGTTTAACCCAATTATAAATATAGTGCTCGATATAAGGCAATAGAATATCAATAATAAACTTGAATATTCAATTACCTTGTTTCTACACATTTAATGTTATTTATTACTATTAATATATGAGTAAGCATTACTTTTTGGCTTTCTTACATGGACGTTGCTTTTAACATGTTCCTTGATTCAATAATAATCCTCGAATAGTATTTATTGTACATCGTTTTTTTTCTGTCCACTACATTATCTCTCTCTCTCTCTCTCTCTCTCTCTCTCTCTCACTCATACACACACACACACTTTATCTCTCTCTTTCACTGTGTGTGTGTTGGTTTTTCTGTGTTAGTTGTCAGTACCACATTATACAGCGAACGTGAGGGTAGCTGTTGAAGCGTTAACAGAGTTAGATCCTAAATACTCTGTTTTCACAGCTACGGGCTGCTGATAACAGGTACCTATGCAAAAGGAAAGGATTTAAATACTTACAAAGGACTCTGATTTTCTGTTTCCTGAAATGAAAAATGAAATTGCATGATTTATGCATTTTGCAAACCGTAATTATTTAAAATATTTCAGAACAAGCAAAAACAAAATAAATTAATAATTACAATAATAATATAAATAGTAAAAGTAATGGTAATATTAGCCGTTTCCTTATAAGGAAACATTCAGCATTTGTTGACCGAAATCTAGTACTGCTTTCGGTTGAAATTTGTAAAATCTTTCTCTTAAAACAGTCTTTCAGAAAAACAGGTTTCTCAAATCCAGTAGCTGTTATCGCTCTTTCTACTAGTGATGGGAGTTTCCTTTTTGTTTGAGGGAATGAAGTTAACTAAAAATCTGTTACGCCATAGTACCTATTCTATTGTAATGGACTCTCCCATAGATAATAAGTAGGAGTAGCAGTGGCAAGTCTGGCAGAACTGTGTTGAGCGGTCTCTGACTGCGCACGCCTCCTGTCGAACTCTCTGCATTAGCAGAGAGGAACCCGGACGAGGCTTTGCCGAAGGGCAAGGTTTCGTCCGGGGAGGTAGACAGGGCCTGAGCCCGTCTAGGCGGGTTCAAAGGCTATATTTTTGGCCGGGCCCACGGGCTCGGGGATACCCACATTAAAACCGGCCTTGTGCCATATTCGGTCCTCGTGGGTGGAACGATAAATACTGAACGGTGTGGAGCGGTCTCTGACTGCGCACACCTTCTGTCGAACTCTCTGCATTAGCAGAGAGGAACCCGGACGAGGCTTTGCCGAAGGGCAAGGTTTCGTCCGGGGAGGTAGACAGGGCCTGAACCCGTCTAATCGGCTTCAAAGGCTATTTTTTGGGGCCGAGCCTAAGGGGCTCGGAGAAACCCACAATAAAACCGGCCTTGTGCCATATTCGTTTCTCGTGGGTGAAATGATAAATACCGAACGGTGTGGAGCGGTCTCTGACTGCGCACGCCTTCTGTCGAATTCTCTGCGTTAGCAGAAGAGGAACGGACGAGGCTTTGCCGAAGGGCAAGGTTTCGTCCGGGAGGTAGACAGGGCCTGAGCCCGTCTAGGCGGGTTCAAAGGCTATATTTTGGCCGGGCCCACGGGCTCGGGGATACCCACATTAAAACCGGCCTTGTGCCATATTCGGTCCTCGTGGGTGGAACGATAAATACTGAACGGTGTTGAGCGGTCTCTGACTGCGCACACCTTCTGCCGAACTCACTGCATTAGCAGAGAGGAACCCGGACGAGGCTTTGCCGAAGGGCAAGGTTTCGTCCGGGGAGGTAGACAGGGCCTGAACCCGTCTAGGCGGGTTCAAAGGCTATATTTTTGGCGGGACCTACGGGCTCGGGGATACCCACATTAAAACCGGCCTTGTGCCATATTCGGTCCTCGTGGGTGGAACGATAAATACTGAATGGTGTTGAGCGCGTCAGTCGAGATTCGGACATTTGAAGTACCAACCATCACAACTCGATTGCTGCGCCATCGACTCTTATTTTCCAAGTTCCTAACGTTTTGTACGTCGGACCTAATTTAGGACGACTTATTAGAAATACAAGCCTCCACTGTGAAAATACTCCACAACAAAATCATAAGGAAAATATAATGCTTACAACTTACGGATTATGCATCAGTTCAGTTCATATACTATTCAAAATCATTGTTAAAAGAGGCGGTGTTAATTTGAATGACTTTTTCTTCTTTTCGTTTTATTTCATTTGTTTTATGTTACTTTGAAGTCTATAGGCCATAAGGAGGAGCATCCTTCTTGGACCCTTATGGACATCTGCTACAGAAGCACAAACGATGAATTACAGCAGTTAACAGAAAACACTGCAGGATATCTATGTTAGTCGTTGTGCTGCCTCATCTCTTCTTGGACCTGGCATCTCGGCTTCAGTGAGGTTCCCACCGTCGCAACATAGCTTCCTTATAAATACTTTCCTTCATAAATACTTCATATAAAGCTTTATAGGGATATAATAATTTCCTTTATAAATACTTCTTCTAAAGCTTCCTTATAAATACTATCCTTTATAAATACCTTCATGAACTTTCCTCTATGGTACCTAGTTTTTATCAATTTAAGCGTCGCCCTAGATCGACGGCAAGGTCTCATCATTTTACAGTTGAAATGGCTAGATGTAACCGTAAGTTCTATGCTAACAGTTTCTTCTATCACACTTCTCAATGGTGGAAATATCTTCCGGTTTCTTCCTTTCCAGTTAACTTTGATCTTCAAGATTTAAATGTAACGTCAGTCGTTGTCTTCTGTGTTTTTAATTCTTGTTCTTTTATTTTTCACTCTCTTTAAAATCGTTTTATTCTCATATTTTCTAACATTCAGTAACCCCTTCCATCTTAGTGACAATATTGCCTTCCTTGGGGTGAAATGGTTAAAATTAACTCGAAGAGAAAATAATGAAATAGCCATGTTGTTGACATTCCACCCTACCTACAGTAGCCCTGGCTGCTCAGTCACTGAATGCCAAATGTTTCTTTATAAGGAAACGGCTAATAGTAACATTAACATTTAGTTCCTGTTCTAATGGTTCACTTGATGATAGATAGATAGATAGATAGATAGATAGATAGATAGATAGATAGATATGAATATGCTTAGATAGATAGATAGATAGATAGATAGATAGATAGATAGATAGATCAGTGGTTCTCAAATAGTGCGCCTGGGCGCACTGGTTCCCCCTGGGAAATGTCTAGGCGCGCCCTGGTATTCCAGAGAAATATGTGTTCAGTTATAAGAATTAAATATATTTACTTTATTATATTGCAGTATCCGTCTCGTTGCAGATACGCCTCGAGGTAAGCCTCAATGTTAGGAAGCTTTTGTTTTGATGGCAGGATTTACTTGTTGGTCTTCCATACCGAGTTCGAGAAAGTTGATCACTAAAAGATGTATTATGTAATATAAAATGATGGCGAGGATTAGGATTGTTTATCTAAAAGTTGTCTTATTTATACTTTCATAGTAATTTATCATTTATAATTTATCACTTATTTGTTTATAAGCAAATGTGATAAATTAGTTACTTTATCATAAACACGTCCGTCGGGATAACTTATTCTATTCTAAACACAAGAATGAATAAACTTAAGGTATATTTCATTTTATATTTGTTATTGCATTATTTCTTAAATACTTGACTTCATTATAACATATTTTTCCGAAATTTGTATATAGTGCGTCTACAATTATTGACAGGATTTCAAATGTGTCCTGACTTCAAAAAGTTTAAGAAACACTGAGATAGATAATGAACAGTGATAGATACTTGGATCTCCTTAAAAGTTCATAGGCTGGAGGTAAGGCAGTGATACTACAGCTATGAAATCTTGCATGCAATAATTTCAACTCTTGTTATTAATAACTGCATTTGTTTTTTGTTCTTTTTTTTTTTTTCATGTAAACTGACATCTGTTCAAAGACTTCTCTTGAAAATGGACAAAATTTAGCATTTATCAATATCTGCAGAAAAAAGGTTTTAGAACCCCTCTCCATACGACATCCATGTTGACATGATTGCTACATTAGGGATGATGCTCCAACTTTTCAACAGTGGAAAATTGAGTAACTGAATTTAGGAAGGGATAGTCTTGGAGATAAACCAAAGTCTGGATGTCCTGCAAAGTTATTTTTAGTTTTTATTTTATTGTGATCATTTTGGTTAAATTTAGTATTTTCTTGATACCAAATGGGAAAAAAAACTCTCTTTTTCATTTGTTAGTATATATATATATAAGGAATAAGAATCTAAATGAAATCGTCTAGATTAAAAGAATGTTTAATACCCAGAATCCCTCGTTCGTACGCATGTGTAATCGCACCAATATAATACATTTAATCCTATGAAGTCCTAAAGGACAAGACGCGTAACAAGAAAACCTTTTCCACTGTGGTGCGATTTTCGCTTCCAGCGTCTTATATGCACGAGTTTGTCGTTGCTTGGAAATCTTCCATGTAAACAGAAAGAGAATATCATCACTGTTTTGTCTGTTTATTACTTAATATATTGTAATGTAATTGTCATCTTTGATAATGGCATATGTAAGCGGAAAGCTTAGATAGGAATAAAAAATATGTATCAATATTGTGATTTTCTTTCTTCGTTTAATGATAATGCTATTAAGCTTATCAGACGATATGAAAATAATTTACATAGAATAAATAGACAACACGTCAATATATATATATATATATATATATATATATATATATATATATATATAAATCATTTCCCCCCAAGCAAGACGGGAATGCTACGATTACGCAGGCAGTTACAAAGAAATAAAGTGAAAGAGAAGACAGGGAATAAAGAGGATTGAGGAAAGAACAATAGATGTACGGGATTCAAGAAGACAGAAGATGACGAATGACGTTGCATTTAATTTCTTTGAAGATTTTAATTATCAGGAATGCAAAGAAACGGAAAGGAGTTCCACTGGTGGGAAGTGCGAGAAAAAAAAACTGATGAGCTAGAATTGGCGGTTGCATTTTGCATTTCAGTTCGGGGCACCAAGAAAAAAAAAAGCTTGTCAGGGCAGTTGCCATAAAAATATCTGGAGAAATGACAGTTGAAAGGCACACTACGTCGGTGAGAAAGTGACTGAAGCCGAGACACGTGGTCAGGATTAAATATATTACAGACCATTCTTTGGATTTTGCTTAGAATCACGAGATGCACAGCAGAAGCAACAAACCACATATGGCAACGCTATTCAATGCACCGACAAATGATTGATTTGGAATTGTATGCAATATGGATTCTGACGAGAAAAATTTTATGGCCCGACAAAGTGAACCAACTTTCCTTGCAGTAGATACCACTATTGATACAATGTAAATGCTAGAAACAGTGAGAGAGAAAAAAAATAGAAAGAGAGAGAGAGAGAGAGAGAGAGAGAGAGAGAGAGAAAGTATGCCTGGTCAAGTGCATAAAAGGTTTGTAGACCGAAAATATTTCTTAATTTGTTAATATTAATTTTTCTTGAATTTATCGATTATCGATCTTATCGATTTTGATTTTCCTTGAGTTTAACAATTATTCATTTGTTAATTTAACGATTATCATATTTTAAATAATTGTACATTTTAATCTTCCATTAACGATTTTCTTAAATTAAACACAGATTTTCTTGAATTTAAGGCAGTGATTCTCAACAGCCGTGTCGCGGCACACCGGTGTGCCGCGGGACCCTATTAAGTGTGCCGCGAAATATTGTTATGACATACATATATGAGTGTGTGTTCAAGTAGAAATGGTACAGCATTAGTATTTAAATAAATGAATAAATATTAAACTCTTTTTATCAAATTATTCTTTTCACTATTCTTCAATTATGTTATTTTAGACATTTTGTTTCAATATTCATTTTTAAATTTTTTTTAATCTGAATTTTTTAAATTTTTTCTATATTTGAATAGATGAATATTAACCTTTTTTCATATAACTGGATTCAACATTCTTCGTTTAATTCGAATTTTTTTTACAAAGTTATATTGAATTATGAATTAATATTGTTAGTGTCCAATATGCAGCATTCAGGATTTGATTTAATAATTTTCCAATTTTTTAAAAAGTATATTACTCTGATGTTTGTATAAAATTAAAATGGCATTAATTGTACTGAAATTGTTGTTAATTTTTTTCTTATTAATATTTTATTGCACATTCGCGCACCCGTAATTTGAAATGGAGCGCAGATAAAAAAAATTGTTAAGCGTCCCGCAATATTTTCATTTGGTCTTAGGTGTAGCGATAATTAAAAAGGTTGAGAAAATCAAGTACATTTCTTTCCGATTTGCACTAAGGATATAAATAATGCCTTTGAGCATTTATTCGATCTTATAGAATGAGAGATATATTGCTTTATTACTCTTATAATATTTCTTTTTACCTGATTTTGCAATTAATTTTAATTCTAACGACTATATACTTTGTTCCTTTGTTAATGTTCATATCAGTAATAATAAAGATGATATACAACAGGTTTTTTTCAAGTTTTCACCCCCAAGCAAGGCAATAAAGCCACTGAGACACCATAGTTTACAGAGTGAGAAAGAATTTGCGAAAAAAAAATCAAGGAGAGAGAACAAGTGTCTGATATACAGCATTTTACTTAATGTTTCTCCAATTTTTTAAAAAGTGTATTACTCTGAAATTTGTATAAAATCGCATTAATTGTACTGAAATTGTTATTTTTTCATAGTAATATCGTATTCCATTTTCGCTCACCCGTGATTTGAAATGGAAAGTAGATAAGTTCTATGGAGGACAGTTTGCGTATTTTTTTTTAAAAAAAAAACTATGGTTTTATTTCATAACATTTAAATGTATATCATTTAAAAATTTTGTTAAATGTGCCGTGATATTTTCATTTGCTCGTAGGTATATCGATAATTAAAAAGGTTAAGAAACACTGCTATAGTATATTTCTTTGCGATTTGCATTGAGGATATAAATACTGTCTTTGAGCATTTATTTTAGAGAAATTCCTCTTCATTCGATGTTTTATAGAATGGCAGATATATTGCCTTATTACTCTTATAATGCTTCTTTTTGTCTGATTTTGCAATTTATTTTAATTCTAATAAAGATATTACTTTGTTCATTTGTTAATGTTCATATCAATAATAATAAAAATGATATACAATAGGTTTTTTTTTTCAAGTTAATCCTATCCTTTCACTCCCAAGCAAGGCAATAAAGCCACTAAGACACCGTGGTTGACAGAGTGAGAAAGAATTTGCGAAAAAAAAAAGACATTATTAAGGAGAGAGAACAAGTATCTGATATACACCACTGAGCATTTGATTTACGAATTTTACAACTTTTTAAAAAGTATATTACTCTGAAATTACACTGAACTGAAGAAGAAATGAGAGTCTGCTTATCATACATTTGACCAAACTTTAAAGAAATCGAAAAAAAAAACCACCAGGCACAGGTTTCACACTAAGTAAGATGCACAAATAGTTGAAAAGAAATAAATTAATTTCATATTTTTGTGTATTTTTTAAAAAAAAGAAATCGCTAAAAAAGAGCATCGCATGATGAAAAAGACACCAAACTTGACGAAAACAAAATTTTATCGTCGAAATGTTTATGTTATTATTAAGAGGAACGATCAAAGTATTTTGGGGGGTATTTTTACATTTTTTAAGCGTTCCTAGCACGTCCGAAATTTTCGTTAAAATCTTCTCTTTTTTTGAGTCAGTAAAATTGACAGATGGTAATCCTTTTTTCCAATTTTATAAAAAAATAAAAATCTCAGTTTGAAATTCTTTTAAATATCAATTTTCATTTTTTCAAAACTTACTTTAAGAAAATCAGAAATTATAATGTTTATTTTAAATATTTTGAACTAAGCTTAACTTAGCTTCTGCGCCGAAAATATGTAATTTGAAAATAAAACAAAGCAGGTCATAAACTTTCGCGACAAGTGATGAATGACATATTGATGGAATCCGTGGGGGATATTTTTTTCTACGGAAGGAGAAAAGTGAAATTATTTACATTTAAGTGAACAAATTATTTAACTTGTTATTTTTAAGGAAATCTTTCAGCGCTCTAATTTTTTTTTTGTACTTAGTTTTCACCTTTAAGTTTACGATGCTTTATGGAAAATATATTTTAAAGAAATTAAAATAAGACTGTTAAGAGTGAAATTAAATTTCATAAGAAAAGTATCTAATTAGTTTATAGGTACCTTTCTTATGAAATTTTATCAGAAGTGTACATAAAATACTATAATTTTATGTACATTTACTACATTTTACTGTGTTATTTGTGTTTCCATTCATTTTAATATTAATTTTGATATTTCATTTATGGAAAACTGCCATAATTGAGATTAATATAAAAATAAGATCATATAAATTTCGTAAGATGATACTGATACTTGTAGGTACCCTTCTCAGTTGAAATTGAAAAATCAAATTAACTTCTCTACACGTGTTTCGCAAAAGTAAAGACCTTAACTGCGGAGAACAATGCTTAACTCAAATAAAGCAACTTAATTGTATTATGGTTGGTCTTCCGTACTTTATAATTAAAGCCCGATTATAAACACAAAATTACATTTCTTAATTATTGCGGATCTTCTGATTAGTCAAAATGATACAATTTACAACGCGCTAAAATATCTCATAAGGACACTTACGAAAGTGGATGCGGCTTTTAACTAATTTTATATTTTAACAACTTAAATGTAAAAATCTATTATAATTAAGGAAATAACAAATAATTGTATGAAAAATTCATTTTTCATCGAAATTTTTTTTTGCTTTCAGAAAATATTGTCCATATTCATAAAAACAAATAAAAGCAAATAAAAGGATTTGAAATTAAATAATATATTTGTTTTATTAAGTTTGTATGTTGCAATTCAGAGCTGATTTTCAGTTAGGGGACTCAAATTAAAAAAAAAAACATGATTTGCATTCCTCAAAGCCTTGTGTTTTTAACTATTGTAATTAATAAAGTGGACTCGGTCGAATTTCTTTAGTTTTCATAAAATTAGTTATCGGGGAGTAGTAAATATGTAAAATAATATTTCTGCGATAACTTTAATAGAAGAGAACATATTTATAATAATTTCATTCATCTGTAAATAGTTTCTGAATGTTTCATTAACATTTGACAATTATTTTTATTTTTGCAAGATTTTCCAAATTAATGTGTGTCATCCAAAAATACCTTGCTAAAAATTCTATGTTATTTTACTATTTCCGGTGATACAAAGAGAAACAAAGTTTTTTAAATGAAAATTCAGATTGTTCTAAAAAGAAGGGAAAATTTTAAAAAATAATTAAAATAAACTTTAATCTTTCCTCTTAATAATAATATAGACATTGGACGATAAATGTTTGTCTTCGTCAAGTTTGGCGTCTTTTTCATCATGCTATGCTCTTCTTTTAGCGATCACGTGGAGGTACCGACCTTAAAAAATTAGCAAAGTGGGCCGTGATCTTTTCATTTTCTCCCCGTGTACCGTTGCTTAAAAACTTTGATAAACATTGATGTAAGACTTATGAATGTTTGACTTTATCATCATCGATTTTCCTTGAATTTACCGATTTTTTTTATTTATCGCTAATCTCTAAACAGCATTTTTCGAAAATCGTACTACGAGATAAAAAAAAATTGCTAACCATGTTTCCCATGTGACGTATCACTTCCTGTCGATCCTTCATCAAGAGCTGAAAAAGAAGAGCGAACTTTTAAAAATGAAGACCTATTTAGTTTGAAATTTTTTACATAAAGAAATATCAACCATTATTTATTTTTAGTTAATATTTCATTAAATATTGTCATTAGAATGCAGTTAGCAACATTATAACATTAGAATATTAAGTCAGTTATGTGCCATGCATGATACACTCTTAGGCGATCATGTATCTTTCTATACATCACTGATGAGACAGATTTTTCCTCCCAGTATGTTGCCATTTCTTTCTGCGGTAGACCAGTTGCCATCCAAGGCTATAGAACCCGGTCTGTCCTGCTATTTACCCATAGCTGGGGAGAAGAAGAGGATTCATAACTTTTCCAAGGGTATTAACACATAAGTGAATGTAATGGATTCAATTAGAAAGTCAGTCAGTCAGTTATGTGCCATGCATGATACACGCTTAGGCGATCATGTATCTTTCGATATATGACTGACGAGGCAGATTTTTCCCGCAGTTGGTTGCCATTTCTTTCTGCGGTAGACCAGTTGCCATCCAAGGCTATAGAACCCGGTCTGTTCTTCTATTTACCCATAGCTGGGTGGAGGAGGAGAAGAAGATTCATAACTTTCCCAAGAGTATTATCACTTATCCGATTTCTCAATCCTAACGCTGGAGCGGCTTTTTTAATAAAATCTTTTCCTATATTATTTACATTATTCGGACTATTGTCCTCATCTTTGTCGCCATATTTATTACAACGTTTCGGCCGTTGTACGCTCCGGCCTTCTTCAGGTGGTTGGAATGTCGAACTGAATCCTTTATTTCGCTTACTGGGAACCACCTGAAGAAGGCCGGAGCGTACAACGGATGAAACGTTGTAATAAATATGGCGATAAAGATGAGGACAATAGTCCGAATAATGTAAATAATATACATAACACCTCATCTCAGAAATATAGACAGAAATCTTTTCCTGCCAAGATTGTATCAGTAAAGCCAATAATCTTTTCCTGCCAAGATTGTATCAGTAAATCCAATAAGACGCATTAGAATACTGAGTGTTAGAGATTATGAGCAGAAATATACTATTAAGTAAAGAAAACAATAAAAGAACAAGAATTAATAAGGTGATAAGAATTGTTTTTGCATTTAAATTTTTGAAGATTAAAGATGGCAACAGTGTATGTTTGTAACCTCCAAAATTCTAGATGACCAGAAACTGACAAATGGTCTCTCTTCTGACAGCAGCTCCATAGGGGAAAACACATACATACAATCCATTTACGGAAGATGCTGTAAAAATGGTCGGTCCCTTGTACTAGAGATTTTAACTCCTCACTTTCTAGCCTTGACAGAATTTAGTTATATGTTTAGTGAATTAGGTTGTTTTATGAGCGTAAGAAAAAGAAGGACTATGTAAGAGCAAATTATAAAGCTATGTAGGATAGAAAGCTGTTGATCCGGGACCTGAAGAGGTTAAAACCAGTACAATCCTAAGCTTAGGTACCTCCATGTGATCGCTAAAAAAAGAGCATAGCATGATGAAAAAGACGCCAAAATTGACTAAAACAAAATTTTATCGTCTAAATTATTATGTTATTATTAAGAGGAAAGATCAAAGTTTATTTTAATTATTTTTTTAAAAAATTCCTTCTTTTTAGAACATTCTAAATTTTAATTAAAAACCTTGTTTCTCTTTGTATCACTGGAACTAGTAAAATAACACGTACAATTTTTAGAATGTGTTTTTTTTGTTTTGTTTTTTTTGTATGACACACATTAATTTGGAAAATCCTGCAAAAATATAAATAATTGTCGGATGTTAATGAAACTTTCATAAACTATTCACAGATGATCGAAATTATTACAAATATTTTTTTTTATTAAAGTCATGGCAGAAATATGTTTTATATTTATTAACCACCCCCATAACCAATTTTATAAAAACTCTAGAAATTCCATCGAGTCAACTTTATTAATTACAATAGTTAAAAATACAAGGCTTTAAGGAATGAAAATCATGTTTTTGTTTTTGTTTTTTATTGGACCGCACTCCCTAACTGAAAATCAGCTCTGAATTGTAACATACAAAACTCAATAAAGCATATATATTATTTAATTTCAAATCCTTTTATTTACTTTTAGTTGTTTTATGAATATGGACAATATTTTCTGAAAGCAAAAAAAAATTTTCGATGAAAAATGAATTTTTAATACAATTATGTGTTATTTCCTTAATTATAATAGATTTTTACATTTAAGTTGTTAAAATAAAAAATTAGTTAAAATCCGCATCCACTTTCGTAAGTGTCCTCATGAGATCTTTTTAGCGCGTTGTAAATTGTATCATTTTGACTAATCAGAAGATCCGCAATAATTAAGAAATGTAATTTTGTGTTTTTAATTATAAAGTACGGAAGACCAACCAGAATACAATTAAGTTGCTTTATTTGAGTTAAGCATTGTTCTCCGCAGTTAAGGTCTTTACTTTTGCGAAACACGTGTAGAGAAGTTAATTTGATTTTTCAATTTTAACTGAGAAGGGTACCTACAAGTATCAGTATCATCTTACGAAATTTATATGATCTTATTTTTATATTAATCTCAATTATGGCATTTTTCCATAAATGAAATATCAAAATTAATATTAAAATGAATGGAAATACAAATAACACAGTAAAATGTAATAAATGTACATAAAATTATAGTATTTTATGTACACTTCTGATAAAATTTCATAAGAAAGGTACCTATAAATTAATTAGATACCTTACTTATGAAATATGAAATTTAATCTCACTCTTAACAGTCTTATTTTAATTTCTTTATAATATATTTTCCATAAAGCATCGTAAGCGTAAAGTAGAAAAAAATTAGAGCGCTGAAAATTTTCCTTAAAAATAACGAGTTAAACAATTTGTTCACTTAAATGTAAATAATTTCACTTTTCTCCTTCCGTAGAACAAATTATCCTCTCGGAATCCATCAATATGTCATTCATCACCTGTCAAGTGATGCGAAATTTATGACTTGCTTTTTTTTATTTTCAAATTACATCGTTTCGGCGCAGAAGCAAAGTTAAGTTGGTTCAAAATATTTAAAATAAACATTATAATTTCTGATTTTCTTAAAGTAAGTTTTGAAAAAATGATAATTGATATTTAAAAGAGTTTCGAAGTGAGATTTTTATTTTTTTGTAAAATGGAAAAGAATGGTTACCATCTGTCAATTTTACTGACTCAAAAAAAGATTTTTAACGAAAATTTCAGACGTGCTAGAAACGATTAAAAGATTTTTAAAAATACCCTAAAATACTTTGATCGTTCCTCTTAATAATAACATAAACATTTAGACGATAAAATTTTGTTTTCGTCAAATTTGGCGTCTTTTTCATCAAGTTATTCTCTTTTTTCAGCGATCTCGTGGAGGTAACTACATAAGCTCTTCAAGAGTCGACCCTTATCTGTCTTGTATATTCATACAATCTAAAATACTGACGTCCATAAACAACCCCTCATTGAGTAACTCTCTACATTGAATCTCTTCTGAGCTTTGTATTGTGACCGTGATGGGATTTGAGTTTTTTTTATATATATATCTGACCCTCTATATATTTTCCTATCATATAATAATGTGATAGTCAACATTTATTAATGTTGTTGTTATTATTAATAGTATTAGTAGTAGTAGCAGTAGCAGTAGTAGCATTAATAGAAAAAGAAGAAGAAGAAGAAGAAGAAGAAGAAGAAGAAGAAGAAGAAGAAGAATTAATATTGTTATTATTACCAGAGAAAAAAAACTTGGACAAGATAACTCACAATGAATTGATTCATAAAAATTCTCTTCATTTGCCGAAAACCCACTGTCTCTCTGTAAACAAAAATAAAGAAGGAAAATCATTTAAATTTCAATAAAATTATAACATTTTTTTAAATCGAATTGAATACATACAATGCATTAAAGCCACTAAGACACAAGGGTATGAAAGAAGTAGACAAAAGAAACATCATTAAGAAGCGAAAACTATAGAAGAGTAATAAGGAAGACAGTAAATAAAGATTGACATTGCATTTAAATTTTTGTAGATCAAAGTTGGCTGGAAAACATGGTGCAGGAAGAGAATTCAATAAGCGAGAAGTGCGAGAAAAGAAACTGTTAGCATAGAAGTTCCAGCCAATTCAACAGTAAATTGATGAGAACTTGTTGCCAATCTAGTACTGCTCTGAAATTCATAATATCTACGTACGAAGAGCTCATGCGAACAATTGTCACGAAAGTATTTATAGAAAAGGCAGAGGGAAGCAACTTTACGGTGGTGGGAAAGGGACTGAAGACAAGATGCCAGGTCAGGACCAATAATACTGCTGATTCTTTGGATTTTATTAAGAATCTCTAAATATATAGCAAGAGCACCGAACTATATACGACAGCCATATTCGAAGCATGGACGAATGGTAGACTTATAGATATGTGAGCTAGATTCTGGCGAGAAAAATTGTCTAGAACGACACAGTGAACAAACTTTCATAGCAACTGATCTATCAATGGATTCAATAGAGTTTTTCCATTCACATCAGCTGAGAATGTTTACCGGAAAATGCACAACGATTCACTCTTTTGGAGTTTAGTATCAGCCATGATTATGATGGAAAACAGAAAGGGTTCTCTCGAATACTTACTAGGGAGCAGTTTTATTTAGGAAGTTAAAATTAACAAGCTTTTCTTTATTCCAGTTAACAACAGACTCGAGGTTGTTTTTGAGATCAGCCGCCAGTTTGATCTTATCAAACTGATCAGACTTAGTATCGAGACAGGAGGAAGTGGTCGTGTCAGCAGCATTGATACCAAGTTGAGAGCTGATGACATCAGGAATGTCATTGATGAAAACAAAGTGGGAGCAAGGATGAAGCCCTGCGTGAACATCTTCATTAGTACAAAAAGATCTAGAAGAGTGGCCATTCAAGATGATATTCATTTCACGATTTGATAAGGCTGAATCCGATCACTAATTCATCCGGAGACACTATACCTTTATTAAATTTTCAATCTTATCACTCCGTAAATTATTGCTTTTTATGTTCCATGTCCTTTCAAAATATGTTCAATCATCGCTCTCCACTGTTTCTTGTTGCTTGTTGCTCTTAAAACATTTTGATGCGTGCCTTTATGCTACCACCCATTCGCATAAACTCGTCAAGTAGCTTGCTCACTGTTTTCTCCTACTTCATTTTACATTTTTCCCACGAGTGCTAAATACTCCACGCCGTTTTCGTCTCTTTCTTATTATAAGCATAAATCTTACTCTACTTTCTATTTTACTTGACTTTTCCTCTTTCCTCACATAAACTAACCAGGACCCTGAATTCTCAGCATCCTTCTGTAGAACTCTATCTCTGTCGTTTCTTCATCATCATCGAGGGAATTGGCTAGTGCCCACTGCCTTATGGTGGATTGAATGTTATATAACAATTAAGTACACTTTGCTCTGGTTTCTAAGCAGGGCTGGTGCATGGGTCCTCGTGAGCCTCCACCACAGCCACCACCACATCCCACCGAATCTATGATACGTAGCCGAATGTATGATATTGTTCAGCACTCCGGAATAAAAGATACTGGGGCCTCACTGTAATACCATCTCAATTTTCATAAGGTAGTATCCAGTGCCAGGGTGAGAATGTCCGATGTCCGACACTCACGTTATTTTGAGCACCCTCGGGCGAAAATGGAGATGCTGAGACAAACAAACTCGATCTAGCGTGTTTTAAAAGAGGGTCTATAAGCGTGTATGTCTGGTAAGGTTGTAATATGTCAAATATCATTTCTCTATTAAAGTATTTATTCGTATTTTTTGTGACAAATATTTTAATTCCAATAATACGAAAGATTTCGATGAGTCTAATGGTGATTACGAATATATGGCAGTTGGAAAAACACACTCTGATCTTTCTGATAAGAAAAGATCTTCAGAATTTGTTGGTGAGGTCTCAGACTCAACACAGAAATCTACATCAATTGGCTTGAGGAGGTAGTGCTAGCCTGGGGTAAAGAGGGTAACTGTTGGAAGATTCGATATCTGGCAACAGGACTCTGCACCATGCCACACAAGTAGGAGAGTATAGTGTTGACTGTCAGACAATTTCTGCGACCACATCCCCCCTTACATCTGCCCACCTAACTCCCCAGACTGCAACTCTCTTGATTATTACGTGCGGGGAGCCCTTGAGCTAAAGACCAACAAAACTCCATGTAACACCAAAGATGATCTGAAGGCAAGGATTATGTTAGCATTCGCCAACTTAAACAAAGAGACTGTCTAAAAGAGTTGCAGGAGATTCCGAATCGTTTGGTGGCCGTGGTTGTAGCTAATGGCGATTTTATTGAATAAATTTACTCTTTTGTATTTCAAGATATTCTTCTGTACTTTTGGTAAAAATATCTGTTAAAAATAGATGTCAGTTTTTATTTTCATTATTTGCGGCATTTAGACGACACTTTATCCATCGCACCCAATATAAAACTGCCTTCACCTCCGAAAGTGTAAAATCATGCACAAAATATCTGTAGTTGAAGATATAAAACTGTGTTCAAAATATTTAGATTCGCTATTAAATAACACATAGAGTTTGATATGCTGCTAAACAAAAATAACTAAATATCATGACTCAGTTGCTTCCAATATTTCAAATACCTTTATAGTTTTTTCTAATACTTCTCACTTTGATAGCATTCTATCCTTAAAATAACGTTTCTTGTTTCAGTGTTTTGACGAAAGCCACACAATTTTTGCTGTATTTATGGTCTCAAATCTGTTACCATCTGTATTCATAAAGATCCTAATGATGAGTTTAGTTACGTAATTCGTCATGCTTGCTCGTTAGAGTTCGCCTTCATTTGCACCTGATTTCTTTGGCATCGTTATGAGACAAGATATATTGTGATATTCCAGTGTTTCATCGGTATCGTATATTTCCTTTGTCGTTTATAGATCTAGACATCATCATCGCCTTGCGTTTTGACATGACTCAGTCCCAAACTGCCGATTTAGGCGGTTCGGGCTGAAACTCTCTACTCCGAAGGCAGAGAGGAATGCCGAAAGGTAGAGGCACGTCTGGGGAGGTAGACAAACCCATTACAAACCAGTAATTACTGGCAACATTTGCATAGACCCAGCAGATAGAATGTAGTATAAATCGAAGAAAATCGTGGAAATACTTTGATAAACATATAATTGTGCTATGATATTTTTTTTCAGAAATAAAAGATTTTGTTAAAATGAATGAGGAACTTACTTGCCCTTGGATATGATGATTCTTCCAAATTTCCTGAATACGTTGAGCATAATAGATTTGAATGTTTTCCTGGCAAAAACATTCTGAGAATGGATTGAAAAACAAACCCATCGTCACCCATGCTGAAATGATAAATACAACTTATATTTGTAATATATAAAAGGAGAATATAATAAGAATATAAAACAAATGCATGTAGATTAATAATAACAGATTAATAATAATGGATCTAGGTAAATTGCTCGAAATCAATTGCTCGGAAAATAATTTCTCGAACTATCAATTGCTTGTAAGGCAGATTGCTCGAGGTAATTTCGAAGCTCGACGCAACTCGTAAACTGCGCCGTCTCACGACACGTCAACGGAGCTGGATATAAAAGGAGCCACAACACTCAACTTTAGCTGTCCTGATTTTGTTTTTTCTTTTATAATTTTTTTTTTATATTTGTTTTCTATTTCAGTAATTTTGGAGATCTCAAACCCTAGTGATGGACATAACTTTTGTTGAGAGCGAAAAAGGAAGGAAGAAGTTGTGTTTGGATAGATATCTATATATTAAGGACAAAACAGTGACCAATAAGATTTACTGGAAATGTGAAATGTGCAAAATAAGAAAATGCTTAGCACGTGTTTATTTGTTTTGGCCCACAGGTTTTGAGCAAACTGTCTTTCGAGAAAAAAAAATAAGACCTGCTGTGTAAATGTATTCGTTCTTTAATTTAACTGTTCAATTAACAACAATAATGTTGTATTATTTTATCTTATAGTAAATATTAGAAACAATCTAGTTTTTTTGTTGTTTTTTTTTAACCACAGATTTCGAGCAAACTGCCTTTCGAGCAATTGATAGTTCGTGAAATTATTTTTTGAGCAAATGATTTCGAGCAATTTACTGGATCCGAATAATAATAGATTAATATATTCCTTTCACATTAGCAGTTTGTTGCCATGTGTTCAGCTCCCGGAAGGTATGTGCTAATGCTTTTTCATCATTTGTCTCCTCCTCCGATTTCGGAAGGTGGGTGGCTGGGAGGGAAAATAGAAAAAGAAGGCTTTAGTGAGGAGATGACAAGGAAGGAACAGGATGTACGGAAGGAAAGCAGATGACGTTCGACGATCCATTTAAATTTGTGAAGATTTCAGGTGGCAGGGATGCAGGAAGTCGGAAAGGAGTCCCACAAATGAGAAGTGTGAGAAAAGAAACCGTTTAGAATAGAAAAGACTAGTTGTCATAGGCTAGAAGTAGGAATCAATTAGCACATACCAGTCAAGATCCGTAGAAAGCTGGATGACAATTTGCATTCGTCTGTCGATGCGTATATGGTTATTTTCTAAGCGTAGTTTAGATATGGGAGAAATCCGAAAGCATGCGGCACCCAGTGAGGATTGAAATCACTACTCAATCGTAATTGTTCTAGCGCGACAAGATTGTTAACCATTACGCCACGTCAGGATGCCCCTGTCGATGTATCTATGTCTGCTACCGACATTAATTTTTAACCTAGGCCATTTAAAAGTTGAGCAATATCTTTCGTGGTTCATTTACACAAGAAACATTAATTGACATTAATTTTTGTAAGTGTAGTAAACTTAAAATTTAAGCTACTTCCTTCTTGGTTCGTTTCCGCAAGAAAGCACATATTATTGACATTCATTTTTGAATAGTGGCGTATACAATTTTAAATGCCACCTATATCTTTCTTGGTTTGTTTCCACAAGAAAGCATGTATTATTGACATTTATTTTTGAAAGACTAACCTAGTCAATTTAAAATGCTGGCGATATATTTCTTGGTTCGTTTACACAAGCAAGCACGCATTATTGGCATTCATTGTTGTTCGACTAACCTAAGCAATTTAAAATGCTAACTATAGCTTTCATAATGAATTCGTTTACACAAGAAGATAAGTATTACATTAAGCTTTCGAGGACGGACTAGATCGTTTAAAGAAATTTGGGTCACTCTGTCGTGCCAGAAAAAACTTTTTCGTCAGAAATATTTTCTCTTTAGGAGGTGCAGGTTTGTAAACAGTGACTATTACGGCTAATAATGCAAGAGTATTCGGTAAATCGAATCGAGTTCTCTCAATCACTGTGTGTTTATCTAAAAATAAATACGTTTAAATTCACCTTCATCTCTGCCGTGCGTCAACGGCTTAGTGGTAGAATCCCCGACTGACGCCAATTCAATCGGGTTTCGACTCTAGCTAGAGGTAGCCGGACGTCTAGTCATACAGATGAGCTGTGATACAGCGAAACAGTCTGTAATCACGATCCAATTTATCAGACCCACAAATTCAACAGAAAACATAACTCAAAATATCAGTTAGAGTATGTGTGGGAGTGAGAAACAAGGGTAAGAGGGAAATATATGAAATGTCTAGTGAGTGGTGTAGCGGAAGAAAGAAGAACAGTAAAGGCCTTAACGTGAGGGTGGAGAATAAAATTTTTATACAGTAATAAATTAATAAAAAAAAAATCTACCTCTACGCCATATTACCTTTAGTATCTTCCAAAGAAGCTGGAAAAGACTCGAACAGAGTCTATAGAACTCCACTCTGTCCAAGAGATGAGCCTGATCTAGCTGTCTTCCATACCTCCCTAATCTCCTTCCAGATTGGTTAGTCTAATTCAAAATCAGCCGTCGGATGGGTTGGATTAATAACGGCTTCTCTATGGCCAAGATCCTTGTCTCTTACAGAGTCACTCAATGTATTCCGGAGATAGGAGTTAATCTCATCTGCAGAATATTCTAACTGATCACTCCGCTTATCCCCAAGCAGTTTCCTAATAAAGCCAAAAGGATCGGCAATGAATGATGATCTCTACTAGCTCCTTCTTTTCCTTCGCCTCTGATGTGACTCCGCTTTACGAATAGATTTTAGTCTTGCTTTTACAACATTCCGCACCTCTAATAGTGGATAGCGTTCCTCTTCACTAGACTGCTTGTACCTTTTTTTGAATACCCTTAATTATCGCCTCAGGCCCTGTATACTCTAAGCCCTACGGTACTTGCTGTAAGGTTTCCGTTTCCTCCCTTCGCGCGAGCCAAATCGTTCTGTGGCATAACTGACTATCATTGTCGATAAGACGTGTAACCGCCTGTCAGCGTTGCCTTTAGATGTAGTAAGAATGATTCTGCTTACGTCCTCGTCAAACTCTTGCCATTCGCTGTGACAAGTCACTGGAGGCCACTTGATCTGCTTCCGGATTACAATGCTTGGGGTTGTTTGGTCGGTTGCTTAGAGGGACTGAGCGCTGTGGTGTGAGTACCGGCCCTACACCTCCTTCGTCTCACCAGGGGCTAAACCTGTGCGTCGCGTTGGACCTCTTTTATCCATGTATTTCGTCCTAGCCTGGTGTATTTTAAGGCCGCGTAGATTCTTACATTCTTTCAATAATAATAATAATAATAATAATAATAATAATGAAAGATAATATTAATAAATGTAAGACGAAAAATGAGAATAAAAATGAAAATAAAAATAATGGTTATATCGTAAAAATTGTTTGCAATGAGCATGAAACACTGAGTTGTACTGTTGACGTTATTAATATATACATAATAGCTCTGTTATTTAACACTGAGCACTGTTTTTCTTACGCCAAAGGATATATATATGTATGTACATGTGTTTGATCACTTACACGTATATTTATTTACATTCATTCATTTGTATATATATATATATATATATATATATATATATATATATATATATATATATGAGATTTACTTACTCGATGATCTGTTTCTTCCACCAAATGTCTGTTGTAAATTCTCAACGTAGTTTTCCAAGAGTTTTTCGGCCGTTACTATTACGATTCTCGTCGAATACACAGAATGGGAGATTCCCTCCACATAAACCGATATTATTTTTTGCCCTGCTCCAACCTCTGAAAAAAAAAATCAACTATGTATTCCGATTGTGAATGTACTTACATCTATAAAGTATGCCAGGGTGAGGCGAAAAGTACACGGTTAAAACCATTTTCAAAGCTGCCCAGATTGTTAACATTAGATATTTTTTAAATCCCATTTAGGAAAGTGTTTTTCATTCTTTTTTTTTTTCGTGTACAGCATTCTAGTTTCCTATTCACAATCATTGTATCAATGGATAAATTTTTATTCTTCATTTGAAATGGAGGATTTCCCTACGACTTTGCTTGATATAGTTCACATTGACTACGCGGCCTTGTGTGTGATGAATTATTGTCAACGTTACAAACCCTTTCCCACCGAAGAAATCTCGCTATTTACATGCCAAATATTCAGACGGGCTACATTCCATAACTCCACCAATTCAGACTTCCACAGATAAGACCAGCCATACCATGAACAACAGTACGAATCACAACGTAAAAAAAGGAAGTTTCACTCGATCAGTTTATTACTATGAACCGCTACTTCGTAGAACAGACTCCCGAGATGATGCTTTCCCGATGCCTGTAATCTTAAGCTATTTAGCCTTAACCTTTATGTTTCCTATATATCCTAATAATCTGAACTTCTTACCTGCTTCTCTTGCGTCCAGACAACAATCGTACCTTGATAGGATTTAGATTCGTTTACCCGACCTTATAGCCTGTCCACTTGGTAGCTTCTTTCACTTTGTATAACCACTAGTATTCGAAGATACCCGTCTAATAGGGTGGCGTATTTGTATTTATTCAACACCCACAGAGCCTACCTGTGATTTATACTGCAACTATGCTGAGCAGACTTTAATTACAGTTTCTGGGAAAGGTCCTGTTATCAACAATTTGAACAAGGCCAGCACGCTCAATCCTTTTGACTACCAAGGGTTCCGTCTACCCAAATTTCACTTTCAAGGATTGGGTATGGTTTTCAGGCATTTTCCAAAGATCGATAACTCCTTCCTGACAAATCGATCATGGTTAGATTCGATCCCCAGTCTCATAGTCAGAATGCAAATGTTCTAACCACTAACTTTCTCATTGTAGCAACGTAGTAACCCTTTTGTTAACCTACGCTATTTCCCTGGCAAATGTTCAGCTGTGTAACTCATTGCACTTTCTCGGACTAACGTTTTATTCTGACATGAAAGATTATATCGAATCATTTGCTAGGTCTACTGCGAAGTAAGTTTGTTACCCGTGTCACGATTGACACTTTTCCTCAACAAAACCTATCTTATTTATATAATAGTAAAAGTCTGTGATCGTGTGCATGCTTGCTTGCTTATATGGTAGGTCCTTCAGGCGCAGAATGATTTAAGTTAATCTAATTTAAATGAATTAGATTTTTTTAAAAAAATGCGTCTTGTTTACACAGAAAGTATTTTTATTTTAATTTTCTTCAAACGGATAATTTTTTGAATTAAAATATTTTTTAAGTTAAATACAACAACAAAGAAATCCCGCTTTGCTGCTTCGTCAAGATGTTTGTAGAATAATTATTTCAGCTTTCTTTAAATAAACAATATTTTAGATATTTAAAAAAATATATATTTGGCATATTTTTTAAAAAATATTTTCAAGTGAATATAATTTTAAAATATTTTGGGATCATATTGTTATAAAATAAAATAAGACCTATCTCGGCTGATTTGCAGGCAAATAAACTAACATACTCAAGAGCGAGAGCCGGGTGTGAACGGGACAAGGCACGGTCACAAAATGACCATTATCGTCGTTTACGCATAAGCCCGACGCACGAGTTCTGGTCGAAAAATAAAATAATATTTTAAAGTGTTTCTATTTTTCGACCAATAAAATGCTTCCATCCTAATTATACTCGCGTCGTTTTACGAGCCTGTTAAGCCATAAAAAAGCCATAAAAGGGGTCACACGGGGAAGTACAATAGCAGTCAACAGGAGTCCAGGGAAGACATCTGTCTCGGGCAGTCAGCAACAGTCAGCAGCAGTAGCGCCACGCCAACCAGCGAGAACTACTATGAGAGATGAATCCAGGTCGGCAGCCGACTTATGAACTATACCACAAGGTAGCTGTCCCAAACCCACACGTTCCTATTGAAATAAATCACGTAAATCTATTTCTGCTGTTGTCATATTTCCTTCTTGCAACCATACGCTTATCTATAACAATATTAAAAAAATATTTTTAAATTAATCTGATTTAAAGGTGAAGCATATCCCGGAAGTTCGATTCTTATTAAATGCGGTAAACAATCGACAAAACGTTAAATACGAACTTGTAAACCAGATCAATGATGAAAGAAACGAATTGAATTGTTTAACTTAATCATAATAAAATTAACTTTCATTTCAATGGAACGTTGAAATGAACTTCAATGTTTAATAACCTGAACCGTCAGTGACCCAACGAGTCACGTGTAATCTCGTTATATATATATATATATATATATATATATATATATATATATATATTCGATTCACTTCGCTCTCCCCCTCTCTCTTTGCCGTAACACTCATTTAGATATATCTGTATTACTGTTGTCTATCTCCTTTCCATTCTTCCTTTTCTTTTCCCCCCACTACCCTCCCATTCCAATATATCATTTCCGTTAAGTTAACCATCTAAATAGGTCACGATTAGGTCACTCCTCCTACCCCAATATAAAACATGCTTAAGAGAAATATGAAATTTACCCCTCTCTATACTCTACCTTGTCTCGTTAACTACAACTCTCACCCTCCCTGTTAAATTACAAAAATTACACTACCCATCAATTTCTAATCCCATTTTTCCTTTCATTTCGTTGTTGGAAGAGTTACCTGATGATCCGGCGTCCTTCAAAAAGGATTTTGGTGAAATAAATTATTGTAATGCTACCTTAAAGTGGTCTGTTTTTTCATTAAATATTTATATATATATATATATGTGTGTATGTGTGTGTGTGTGTATAATAGATACAGATGGTCAGAACAATACATACATAGGATGTACTGAAGGTAGTTTAACGAGAAGATGGTACAGTCATATGTCGTCTTTCAAGTTGAAATGTCTTAGAAATTCCAACAGACTACCTGACCATGTATCAAAATTAAAAGTAAAAATAAAGTAAAACAAAAGATCCAACTATAAGATGGAAAATTAAAAAAAAAGCGAAAACATACAATAACCATAATAACATCTGCAACCAGTTCTTTGTACAGTAATTATCTATATTTTATCTTTCTTTAGACAAACAATATTTTAAAGATTTAAGAAAATAACTTTTAGCATATTTAAAAAAAATATTTTTCACGTGAAATTGATGTTAAAATATATGTTAATCTGATTTAAAGTTCAAGTTTATCCCGGAACTTCTAATCCTTTTAAATACGGTAAACAATCAGTAAAACGTTAAACATGAAGTTGTAAGCCAGACCAATGATGAAAGGAACGAATTGAACTGTTTAACTGAATCATAATAAAATTAACTTTCATTTTAATGGAATGTTAAAATCAACTTCTATAACCTCAACTGCCAGTGACCCAAAGGATCACGAGTACTATAGTACAGGGGTCGTCAACCTTTGCTAATTCTGTGCTGATTTAGGGTTTTAAAGTCATTCAGTGTACCAAAAGCATACGTATTTTTATACAAGTCATGGTCTATATACATGTTCCACAATATATTTTATATAGTAATATAACTCTATCTATAAAAGGCAGAATGTGTGTGTGTAACAAATGCACGGCCGCAATTTTTGATGGATTTGCACCAAAATTTATATGCACATGCTCCAAGTTAGCAGGAAGGCCAAGACTGACTTTGCATTTCCCAACTCCCATCGATAGTGGAAATAATCGATTTTTTCAAGCTTCTACGGCACTTTTCATGTAGTTTGCGGCCATTTTCTACTGGCCAGAGTGAGAGCCTATAGCTGGCTGCCAGGAATAGGTAGGAAGATTCTATTGGCCAGCGTGAGAGCCAACAGCTGACTAACACGAATTTTAACTAGCATTCTAGCATGCAAAAAAAAAATCGATAGCTGCATTCGTCACAAGTGGGAAAAATTTAAATCTGCATGGCACTTTACTCCAATTGTCTCATTCGCTTGCTTAAACTCAACGTTGATTCTGATTCCACAGAACTGGGTTGGGTGTGAAAAAGTATTTGTTGTTAACATTCTTTTTTCATTCGGTTTTTCCAGTTACGAGTCCTTTTTTAAAGCTGATCGTTTTGTTTTCATTTTGTTTAGTTTCTTTTTTCGTAACAGATTTATTGTTTAGTATAGAGCTTAGAAAAAATTCTCAGTGTGAGATAGGCAAGAAGTTAGGCATGTAGCAACATCAGTACGGCAAAGGACACTCCTTTAAAGGCAAGGAAGGGCAAAAATATTTTAAGTCATGTGATTGACTCTCAAGCGTTTTATTGGCTATTATATTCTATATATTTAATAAGCCACATATTTATTTACGCGCGCGCGCGCGCGAGCGTGTGTGTGTGTGTGACAATTGACAATTGACAATTGACGGGTAGTGAACATTTTTCTTTTTTTTTTTTCAAGTAACAATTGAGGGGAAGTATGCAAAATAACGATGACCTGCCCGACCAAATTCAAGTTATATTTGCTTTGGGAAGAATAAAAGAACTTTAGTTCAATAAAAATTATGAAAGACAGACATGAGTCACGGGCAACATACTAATGTTGAATATTTTTTCTTTTACGAAATTATATTTTATTTAAATTAATTTTCGAAAAAATAATCACCGCTATAGTTTTGCTTTAATAAAATTTAATTTAAAATTATTTACTTTTTCATATTAGTAACAAACCAAAAATATTATGAAGTTTATTTTTTAAAGACTGACTGAAAAATAATTCTCTATAAGATAAATAAATTATTTTTTCGTATCATAATTTGCGCTGGCCCGGTCTAGACTAATTCAAGATATTTTGTTTGAAATCTGGTTTTTGAAAGTAAAGTAAAGAAAATAATTAAGTTTCGTTTTTAAAATCTG